CATAGTTGTTTTGAAACTGCTCTCTTGGTGGCTTGGTTCTGTGGTGTGGCTTGGAACTTGTTCCTGAAAGCTCAACCTAGAGGCTACTACATCAGCCTTCTAATGATTTTGTATGCCTTAGGATAAATTTATTCTTTTTTAACTAGCTAGAAGGGATTCTATTCTCTGCAACTGAACCCAAAATAGTATACCAAACAACACAAACCTCCTCCCTCAGGAGTAGGAAATGTGGCATATGCTCATTTATACCACTAAACCACAACAGAGTGTTTTTATGATTACAATACTATAATCTATTCACTGATAATCAAACTTTAGTTTTTTGATGAAATCCACATTTACTTTCTACTTAGGAAAAAATAGTGTGATCCTTTGGTGTGATCCATTGACGTGATCCTCTTAAAAACTCCTGATGCTACTCCTGGAAGCTATTTATTTATTTATTTATTTATTTTTTTGAGACAGAGTCTCACTCTTTTGCCCGGGCTAGAGTGCCATGGCGTCAGCCTAGCTCACAGCAACCTCAAACTCCTGGGCTCAAGCGATACTCCTGCCTCAGCCTCCCAAGTAGCTGGGACTACAGGCATGCGCCACCATGCCCGGCTAATTTCTCTATATATTTTTTAGTTGTCCAATTAATTTCTTTCTATTTTTAGTAGAGACGGGGTCTCGCTCTTGCTCAGGCTGGTTTCGAACTCCTAAGCTCAAACAATCCGCCTGCCTCCGCCTCCCAGAGAGCTAGGATTACAGGCGTGAGCCACTGCGCCCAGCCTGGAAGCTATTTAAATAGCCTAGAATAACCTTTCAGATTCCCTTCAAGCCTGTGGTTCTTACCTAGCATATCCATTCTTAGAATAAATGCCATCACTATATGCTCTTTCTATAGGAAAGTATTATCCTCTCAATTGGAAATGCTGGTAGAACCTTGAAATCCTTAAATCATGTCAACTTTTCTAAAATAACATTAAATACTAGGCTTTTTCTTTCCTTAATTCCAGAAAACTTACCAAGTAATTTTGGAGAGAAGTCTAAATTAAAATTGTGTTCAGGCTGGGCACAGTGGCTCATACCTGTAATCCTAGCACTCTGGGAGGCCAAGGCAGGTAGATTGCTTGAGCTCAGGAGTTCAAGACCAGGCTGAGCAAGAGCGAGACCCCATCTCTACTAAAAATAGAAAAATTAGCTAGGCATCATGGCTTGTGCCTGTAGTCCCAGCTACTCACGAAGCTGAGGCAGGAGGATCACTTGAGCGTAGGAGGTTGCAGTGAGCTACAATGACTTCACTGTACTCTACCCGTGGCCACAGAGCAAGACTCTGACTAAAGAAAAATTAAAGAAAGAATAAAAGTATGTTAAAAAATTCATTAAAAGTACTGTAATGTAAAAATTCATCACAGGAGTGGTGGTTCACTCCTATAATCTCAGCACTTTGGGAGGCTGAGGCAGGAGGATTGCTGGAGACCAGGAATTCAAGATCGGCCTGGGCAACATAGTGAGAACTTGTGCCTACCATTAAAAAAAAAAAAAATCACTACCAACCACGAAATTTTAACAAAGTAAAAGCAAAAAGCATCTTTATATCCCCCAATTCCAAAGCACAAAGTTGGACAAGCTTTTCCGTTTGACCTGGAATCAACATGCTTGGTTCTGAATGTTCAGAAGAATCCACACAATCAGAACTTTGTACATGTCCCAGCTGGATTGATTGATCAAGAATCTAAGAAAAAGATAGGTAATCAAAGGTTAAAGATCTAAGCATCTTGGGAAAAAGCAATTGGTGTGTGGCCAGTGTGGTTTGGAAAGCCTGCCCCAATCCTACTCAGAAATCCAAAACTGCCCTAGTTCATAAACTGATATCCCCATAGGACACCTCTTATATTCCCAGTGAACAAATTTAAGTAAATTAAATCTGAAAGGCATAAAAGAAACCACCACTACTGTAGCCCTTTCGTTCTACTCCATCACTCTTTCAGAACAACAAAGTTGAAAGAGTTTATTCTTAAGATACAATTTTAAGCAGAACTTGGGTGAAAGTCAAGGTTCTCTAGTGAGAGAAGTCCCTCTGTTAACACTGTCCCTCAGGTCTTTCCCTAAATTCAAAGTTGGGCTCCCTGGGCAACCCAAGGCATACCATCACACACCTCTCTTGCCACATCTAAAAGGTAAAATTTCTCATTTTATCCAAAGAACAAAAGAAATAAGGTAACTCTGATGTGAGACCCTTCCCTTAGCAGAAAATAATAGCACTTAACAAAAAGAACACAATCATTTCTAGGATTTGAGGCTAGAAAAGTAGAGTTGGTTGGTGTCAACATTGTTCTTCCTTTTAGGGGTTTGGGATTGTATTTTCATTCTTAAGCTCTTTAATGGGTATGAACTATTTGAAAACATCTCTAAGCGTCTTTTGCTCTTCCAACCACTTCACCCTGTCCTTGCACCCACCCTTCCACCTTAAATTCTGATGAAGAATTTCAAAAACTCCCTATGTGTATCAGAAAAATTTAGTAACTGGCTTCACAATTGCTCCTCAAAATGTTTACAAGAAAATCTTTAGATAATAAATAGTGTATGCTCAGAAAGATGAGGAAACATGGACCAAGAAGTCTAGACACAGATCAAGGGCCCAGGAGGGCAGAGCCAGCCCTTAAGCAATAGAGACATCATGTCTCCCATGTTCACAGGGATAGCTCACAGGCACAGCCATCAGGGTTGGACAGCCTCCAAAATCAGGCCCGACAAACTCCCATATGCCAGGGCCTGGCAGCATACACCACTCTCACCACCATCCTTTGAAGAAAGTTCTAAGAGTTAAGGTTCTCCCACAGGCTAGTAGGCAGATTTCCAAATGGCCTCAGGGGAAGTGGAACTCTGCCAACAGTAAAGGCAACTCCCCAAACAGTGCAAACTCTGAGAGGATCAAGGGAAAGACTTTGATATACGTATGTATGGGTGGATAAAAGTGTTAAGTTCTATAACATGAAACACCAAAAACGTAAATGCTCCACTTTTTACTTAAAATATAAACTACTCTACCTCATTGTTATATTATGCACAAATACAGAAATGTTTTGATTTTTTTTAAGATTGGCTGTGATCTAAAGAAAACAGTTTATGTTTTACACACAGAAAATTTATTTGAGTAAAAGTTTTTACAGAACTAAAAAATATGTTCTCCACAACATCAAAGCTCATTAAAATGTTTTAATATTAATATACATTTTCTTCTCTCAAAAATACACAAAGCCTTTAAATATTATATCGGTATTAAACAACAAAATCCTATGGACATAAATATAAAATGTTTTACAACCTACATATTCAGAACACTTTCAACAAATTTTTCACTTGTATTTTTGGGGGGTATAGCACAGACTTGAATGGAATGAAGGTTACTTCGATTAGGACAGTTATTTTTAAAATTTCAGTTTTTCACAGCTTAGTATGTATGTAATCTTCCTGTTGATGAAATAGAGAATTATAAAACTTTCCATCTCTTAGTAGTCTTGTAATGGAACAGAAAAATATCCAGTGTATTGCATTTCTTCCAGGAATTAGCCGTTATGAAGAACCATTAGGCTTGTTTCTTCTGTGAATGATTTCTGAATGCTTTCAATACAATCATCCCAAGTGTTGAATAACTGCCTATTCTATTTACCTAGGATGTGTACTTCTTGGACATGAGCTGATGATATGTAGACCTTCAAATTAATAGATGAGGTAGCTCAATCAATGTAATCACCAACACTTGAAATGAAAGGAAAAGGAAGAAAACAAAAGTTTTTTCCCATCAAGAAAATCGCACATCTTTGTGTGATTACTCATCACACAGCTTTGGAAAGATAATAGGAAAAAAAATATGAAGAGTAGAAGATGAATACTGAGAGAGCACATGAGAAAGATAGATGAAAATGCCTCATCTAAATGTGGTTCTGTAACCGAAGCTCCCCAGTCAGGTCACCACAATTTCATTCACATTTCTATTTTCCAACTTTCTAAATTATAAGAATCAATTCAACAGATACCACATACATATATACAGTATACACTATGGCACTGGGAACCAACTTAAAATTTTTATGAATTACAGATAAATGTAAGGCACTTTCGCGGTTTATAAAAGTGAATGCCTCAAAGTTAGATATTTACCAAAAATGGAGAAATATTCATATAAAAACTTATAGGAACCCTGAAAAACCAAGTAGGTATGAATCATTAGTGGTCTTGGCCAACATTTTGAGAATCTTAGTGTGACTACAGAACAGTGATACGATAGATAAATAACTTTTTAAAATTATAGACTTCTATATATCCGTGTCAGGATTCTAAAACTGCTCTCATAAAAACCTATCAGTTCTAAGTTCTTCTAGTTTCTCAACCACCGAAGACTAAAGAGTAGGCAACAACCATTTATAGTATACTGCTGTCTAGATTTAGTGATTCACCATACCACATCAGTTATAAGGAGACTGAGAATAATAGAGGCTTTGAGTTTGTTTTACAAAGTTAATTCTTACAAATATTATAGCTAAGATACAATCTTATTCAAACTACTTAAAAATGTGAAATTTCATGTGTTTTCTTGAAATCAAGAATTTTTAATTTCCAAATACAAATATTGTTGCTCTAAATAACATGAGCTTTTCCATGAATCTGCAAAATTAAAAGAACAAAACTTATACTACATTTTCTTATCTAGGAGAAACAAAAAGTTTAGATATTATAAAGCCAAAAGCTGATTTAAGGGAATAACCAATATTTTATGCCATCTTTCCCCAAATTCTGAAAAAGTCAAATGTTCTCTGGATCATGGTTGGTAAAGACAGGTCATTAACAAAGTGAGGGAGTCAGGACAGATACAACTGTATCTTGCCTCTTTATTCACACACACACAAGAGTATGGACTTTAATTTTTAAAAAATTATCACCTCTATGTTACATCATTTTAATAATTCAGTGATTATCTTTGACCTAAAAATGAGATTTTTTAAAAACTATTTTCTTAAAGAACGCAATTAGTACATTCTTGTTGCTGACATGAAGATTACAATGCATACCTAGCTCCTTTCATTATTTACAATTCAAATCTTTGTTGTACTTCATCCACAATCATTTCAGAAATTGCAATGGAAGAAGTGGCAGCAGGGGAAGGCGCATTTCTCACATGAAGAATGCGATTTCCGATATCCCCAACTCCTCCATCAAATACAAAATCTTCTACCAGATTTCCATCTCTGTCCAGAGCTTGGGCTCTTACTCCCGCTGGACCTCTGCAAAAGCAAGAGTGAGAGTCAACTGACCCAAAGACATAGGACACTTTACAAGTCAGTGGTTTTCAAAGTATTCTTAAAGCAAGGAAATCTTTATTATTCTAAATGTACGAGTATGTGGAAACACAATAGGTTTGTGTTTCGCCAGACTTTCAGTTGTAGCCTGTCAAGCCTATATCATTAGCCTAGAACAGAATGTTTATTACATAACACTATAACAAATGCTTATCAAATAAATACACAAATAGGTAAGTTATTTATAAATATCTGTTCTTTCCAAAAGTAAATAAATCCACACTTAATTAGAACAGATGCTTTTTAAAATTTATATTAATAGAATGAATTCATTATAAAAATCAATCAATGACAACAAAAGCCTTTTCTGATTAATACAAAACAACGAAAGCAGGGGTTATACATTTCAATTGCATTCCTATATCTATTTATTTTTATATTTTGCTTTGATCATACACTGTTAAAATCTATGGAGAAAAATATTTGCAAATGGTCACAAGCTCTTGTTTTGTAGTTTGTTTTTATTTTAAAATAGTTTATCCTTCAATATCAGGATCACCTTCAATTAATTAAAGTGAGAGATGATAGGAAAAGTATAAAAACGATAAATTTTGCAGCATGTTACTATAATAAATCTTTATTATTTAAAGTTCTGTTTTATAACATTTGAGTTCACATATTAGATTTCTGGGTTTTTTTTGTTGTTTTTTTTTTTTTTTGAGACAGAGTCTCACTCTTTTGCCTGGGCTAGAGTGAGTGCCGTGGCGTCAGCCTAGTTCACAGCAACCTCAAACTCCTGGGCTCAAGTGATCCTCCTGCCTCAGCCTCCCAAGTAGCTGGGACTACAGGCATGCGCCACCATGCCCGGCTAATTTTTTCTATATATTTTTAGTTGTCCAATTAATTTCTTTCTAATTTTAGTAGAGACGGGGTCTCGCTCTTGCTCAGGCTGGTTTCGAACTCCTGAGCTCAAACAATCCGCCTGCCTCGGCCTCCCAGAGAGCTAGGATTACAGGCGTGAGCCACCGCGCCCGGCCCTGGGTTTTTTTTAATAGTTAAAATTTACAGATGAAAGTTGAATCAAATGCTTTTGGAATCCAAAGCATCTCTTTGAAACTGTTCAAAGAGGCCTAGTGTGAAAAAGTCTATCTTATATATAACACCAAGACTCAAGAAATCAGGCAACAATATTAAACATTTTTTATTGATTCTGGGACAACTCAGATAAGTACTTGCAGAAGATACAAAGAACAATATAAGCGTACTGCCCTCTAAGACCTTAGCCTGGCTAAGAGAGATAATAATAATAGTAACTCTTATTTACCAAGTACTTACTCTGTGCTAACAATTATCTCACCTAATCCTCAGGACAACTGATGCAGTTAATATTTAACAGCAAAAAAAAAAAAAAGAGAGATTAAGTAACTTGCCTGAAGAATCATACAGCCATATTGTTCATTTATAGAGAGGTAAATAAGAATTACAAAAACAAGTGTGAAAGGTTGTATGATAAAGGTTAGTAATCTTCCCTATAGAATCCTTCAGGGAATCTGCACAGGAGATTTTTGAGCTGTAAGAATTTCCAAATAAGAATCAGATATATCACTTAGGATACAAAAAGACAGAACAAACAGGACTGAAGTCTAAAATTTCTTAGGGTAAGGATATATCAGTTTATCAGCCAGTGTGTGGTCCATTTTGTGCATTCTTTATTTATAGCTTATCTCAACTCATCAAAGCAGCATTTCTCCCCTCTTTTGTTAGAAAATGCTGATGTTGCTATTAAGAATGTCTCTAGGTTTGAGCTTTCCTGTCCCTCTCTTTGTATCTGGCAGAAAACCAACATGCTGGGGATACACAGTGGCATGAGCAGCCACTGATGTCAAGTGTTCAATGTAAAACTTGCCACTGTACTGAGGTTCAGTCAGCACATTCCCCGGGCTCCTTCTAAGCACATAGAAATTAATACTGATTAACCATAGTTAAAAATGTCTACACTTATTTCTCTTACAAACACAAATTATGTTCTCAATGCCCCCTATACTCTTGCCCAAGTGTTCAAAACCCTATAATCCAAACTAAAAAAAACCTCATAAAATGTTTTTCTTAGGATCTCACTTTAGTTCAAACCAAAGTGGTTAGTAACATAAAATGTTTAAACTACCAAATTTTTCATATTTCCTTTTCACCACTTAAGGGAACTTCAGGGTTTTTCTTCTCAGGACTAGACACAGGCTTTCCCCTCAGAACACTTCAACTCAAGGTAAGAATTATCATTTGAAATCTCATGCACGCCTGTAGTCCCAGCTACTCGCGAGGCTTAGGCAGCAGGATCCCTTGAGCCCAGGAGTTTAAACTTATAGGGAGCTATGAGCATGCCACTGCACTCCAGCCTGGATGACCAAGCAAGACTCCGTCTCTTACAAAAAAAAAAAAAAAATTGAAATCTCAGTTAAGACAAACCATTAACTATCTTGAGGGCGAAGACAGTGTCAAACCCCTACCGCACCCCCATGTCTAGATTTGTGTCTTCCACACAGTAGATATTCAGTAAGGCTAGAAACTTTTAGCTTTAACTTTTAAATTCTTTTTTTTTTTTTTAAGAGACAGGGTCTCACTCTGTTACCCAGGCTGGCTTCGGACTCCTCAGCTTAAGTGATCCTCCCACCTCATCCTCCTGAGGAGCTGGGACTATAGGTGCTTGCCATCACATCCGGCTAACTTCTAATTCTTTTAACTTTTAATTGTATTTTAACAATGGAAAGAACAATTGACTCAGCAAATTAATAGCTGCAAATTCAGCTACATTTAATTTAGTATAATATATAGAGATCTGTAGCCATATATTTTGCTACATTTGTAGCTAAATTTAATGGAAATTTACAGCCTAGATGCTTATGTATGTGCAGAAACAAGAACAGGTCAATGTGTAACTAATTACATTGATTCATATCTGAGAAGTCCTGTATTGCATTATTATCATATGGCAGGCATTACACCATGGGCTAGGAAAACAGCTATGAAAAGTTACAACTAACATTTTTGGCCGGTCCTAAATAGGACAATCTAGTATTTATAAAACTACTGCTAATCTAAAAATACAAGTCCACATGAGCACATTTAAATTGGAAGTGGTGGTATGGAGAAAGTGAATAATTCCAAGTTAATTCCAAACACCAAAAAGGGGTATTCTTTTTAAACTTTTAATTATTATGGATACACAACAGTTGTATATAAGAGAGGGATATTTTTGTTACTAATCTTCAACTTAACTGGATTATGACAAGAGAATATGGTTTTTCTACAGCCAATTTTTGAATTTTATTGAGAACCTGGTTTAGGGCTTAGGACATTTTGAGCTTTTGTAAATATTCTGTGAGGGCTTAAATAACACCAGTATTCTGTAACAGCGGTGGAGGGATTTGACCTACAGTGTTTTAATTGTGTTGTTCAAATCTTCTAACATTTTATCTGCTTAATCCATCTTTTATTGATAGACATATCTTAAAATCATCCACCACAATTGAGGATTGTTTATTTCTGCTTGAAATTATATCCTATGGGAAGGGCTGGGTTGAGGGTGTGTCCCTCCACAGAGGTTTTACATTTGCTTCTATTACTACCCTAAGAGCACTTTCATTTACTTGTTCAATGGAAAATTTTAAACATGTAAAAAAGCAAAAAGAACAGTATAATGAACTCCCATGTATATATTCCCCAGTTTCAACAATTATCCATACACAGCCAATCTTACTTCATCCATATATCCCCACCCAACATCCACCTCTCTCCATTAGATTATTTTATTTTTTTAAGAGATAAAGTCTCACTATGTTGCCAAGGCTGGATTCGAACTCCTGGGCTCAATTGATCTTCCTATCTCAGCCTTTGAAGTAGCTAGGACTACAGGCATGCACCACTGTGCCCCACTGGATTATTTTAAAGCAGACTCCAGATGGCATACCATTTCACTTCAATGTGTATTTATTTTAAAAGGATTCTTTAATAATAATAATAATAGTAAACTAATGATTGCTTAGTATCAACAATATTCAGTCCATGGTCAAATTGCCCTGATTTTCACTCTGTCTCTATTAGAATTTACTTAGAGTAGGAAAAGAAGGAAAGGGATGAGGTAGGGAGCAAGGGGAGAGAGAGAAAGCGAAAGAAGCGGCTGGTTTGAAGCAAGATTTGAACAAGTCTCGGTCCACCTTTTAAGTTAATTTCTCAGTTTATGGTTCCTAAACCAAACTGGTAGTATCAAGTCAAACTCTAAGCACTTGTGAAAGAGTCTAGATTTTTAGGAAGATTCCTCCCATTCCCCACCCTCAAGACCATGTCAGACAAAATTCCTTAACACTTTCTGGTGCTACAGGGAATATTTTTTCTAGACTTCCTTTTCACAGAAGGTATAGCCTTTTAAGAGTCCCTGGCTGTATGCTTGGGTCTTGGTTCCAACTTTGTATAGACCCAAGGCCTCTTTTCCAGCACTTGAGTGGCAATTAAAAACAAGTCTCTAATATTCTATATCTTGTTTTGTGTGATGGAGACAAGTTTATACAATTGTCAAAATTTATTGAGCACTTAAGGTCTGCATATTTGATTGTATGCGAGTCACACATCAATTACAAATATAACTTGGGCCCCTCCGTTATTAAAATCAGTAAATCATCTCCACCTCTACAGGTCAGCATCAGCACCATTTCCTCTCAGCACATGAGTTTTCAATTTGCTCTTTGTTTTTTGCTCCTGAGATGCCCTTTACGTTCCTTCAGTCTCAGCTATATGTATTTCAAGGATGTTTATATTTCTCCAGACTGTTAATATATATACTTTTTTATTTCAGGGTACTATGAGGGTACAAACATTATGGTTACATTTTATGTCTTTGCCTCACCCAAGCGGGGGTTAGAGGCATGCCCTTCCCCTCTACAGTGCTCCCCATGTCCTTTAGTTGTGGTTTACCTCCCCACCTCCATCCTCCTAATCCTTGGAGAATATTACTGCCATGTGAGTACCCTAGTGTTCACCAGTTAGTACCATTTGATGGCGAGCACAAGTGGAGTCCATTCTTCCGATCTTGTGATACTTCACTTCGGATAATGGGCTCAAGTTCAATCCAGGAAAATATAAGAGGTGCTAGATCACTGTCGTTTCTTATGATTGAGTAATATTCCATTGTATACATATACCAAATTTTAATAATCCACTCATGAATTGACAGGCACTTGGGTTGTTTCCACATTCTTGCAATAGTGAATTGTGCTGCCATAAACATTTGGGTGCAGATGTCTCTATTATAGCATATCTTTTGCTCTTTTGGGTAGATGCCTAGTGGTGCTATTGCTGGATCGAATGGTATTTCTATTTTTAGCTCTTTGAGGTATCTCCAAATTCTTTTCCACAGAGGTTGCACTAATTTGCAGTCCCACCAGCAGTGTAAGAGTGTTCCTGTTTCTCCACATCCTTGCCAGAATTTGTTGTTTTAGGATTTTTTTGATAGAGGCCAATCTCACTGGGGTTAGGTGATATTTCATTGTGGTTTTGATCTGCATTTCTCTAATGATTAGAGATGTTGAGCATTTTTTTGTATGTTTGCTGGCCATTATTCTGTCTTCTTTTGAAAAGTTTCTGTTCATTTCCTTTGCCCATTTGTTGATGGGGTTGTTTGATTTTTTCTTGTTGATTTTTTAAGTTATACATAGATTCTTGTTATCAGCCCTTCATTGGATGTGTAGAGAGCAAATATTTTCTCCTATTCTGTAGGCTGTCTATTCGCTCTAATGATAGTTTTCTTGGCCATGCAAATATCTAGGAATATATTTAACGAAAGATGTGAGAGACATATACAGGGAGAACTACGAAACGCTAAGAAAAGAAATTGTAGAAGATGGAAACAGATGGAAAAATCTACCTTGCTCATGGATTGGTAGAATCAATATCATTAAAATGTCCATACTACCTAAAGTGATCTATAGATTTAATGCAATCCCTATCTAAGTCCATCATTCTTTACAGATCTAGAAAAAATAATTCTATGCTTTGTATGGAACCAGAAAAGATCTCTTATAGCCAAAGCAATCTTAAGTAAAAAGAACAAACTGGGAGATATCAGTTTACCAGACTTCAAGGTGTAGTACAAGGCTACAATAACTAAAAGAGCTTGGTACTGGCACAAGAACAGAGACATAGACCTCTGGAACAGGACTGAGAATCCAGAGATGAAACCATCCACATATGGTAATCTAATCTTTTGACAAAGCAGACAAAAATATACACTGGGGAAAAGAATCTCTTTTCAATAAATGGTACTGGGAAAACTGGATAGCTACATGTAGAAGAATGAAACTGGATTCCCACCTCTCACCTCTCACAAAAATCAATTCAAGACGGATAACAGACTTAAACCTAAGGCATGATAAGAATTCTAAAAGAAGATGTTGGGAAGACCCTTTCAGACATCGACCTAGGCAAGGAATTCTTGAAGAAGACCCCCAAAGCAATCACCGCAACAATGAAAATGAATAAATGGGATCTGATCAGACTGTTAATATTTTGTAGTGTGAGGGTTACCAAATTCTCTAGACTAGTTGTTCTCAAACAAGAGAGATTTTGTCCCCTGGAGGACATTTAACAATGTCTGGAGACATTTTGGGTTGTCACAACTAGGAGAATGGGTAGCAGCCAGGGATGATGTTAAATATCCTGCAATAAACTGGAGAGTCCCCCAAAACAAAGAATTACTTGGGCCCAAAATATAAATAGCACCAAGGCTGAGAAACTCTAACATAGATCCTCCTAAGCCATTACAACTTTATTGGAGAAATGTTTTGCTTTTGCCTTTGCATTTCACAATGACATAGCCTAGTTATCACTAGTTATGAAAACATCTTGCCCGAAAGTTTACTCTAGAATTCCCCATAGAAGATATTTTCCAAAATGAAGTATGGGAAAAAGGGAGGATTGTGACCTCCATGTCTTCATTTTTTACATCCTTACATGCAAACAGATACAAACTGCAGTTAGATTAACACGTCAAAATTAATCACAGAATAAATTAAAGGAGTGTAGAGCTAAAATTAAAAGCCTCAGAGACCACCATTTAACAGTGAGAAGTTTGTATACTAATGCATACATTTGACAGATTATAACTTTACATTCCAATATAATGTTCACCAGCAAATTATTGCCTAAAATGCTCTGGCTAAGCAATGAGAAGTCAGGCTAGATGCTCTTTAGTGATTAATGAAACTTAAGGACACCACCCTGCGCAACACACCCCACCAAAAAGATTGCCTCAATTATCTTTTACTATTTAGAACTGCTTGATATGTTTCTGCTGCAATACTAATAATATGGTTTTAATACACTGGTTGCAAGGCAAACGAGACAAGACAGGACTTGGGCTTCAAGCTGTGAAAAAGTCTATTGATTTTATTATTACTGAATATTAATATTTCAGGCATATAACAAAATATAGAGAATAACATACTGATCACTCATTTTCTTACCAACCAGCTTAAGAAATAAAGCATTACCCATAAGATAGAAGCCCCTGTGGAACTCTCATGATCCTGTTCCCTTCCCTCCTCAGAGGTAACCACTCTCCTGAATTAGGTGTTTATCATTCCCATGCTTGTTTTTATTTTCACATTACATGTACAATCCATAAACAATATTTGGTACTATTATGGTTATTTTTAAACTTATATAAATGGTGTCAAACATATCTTCTGTATCTTCCTTTCTGTTATCAATAATTTCCTGCGTTTAATAGCTACAGGAATAAAGAGAAGGAACAAATGGAACTGCTGAATGTATTCAGGTTCTCTGTCTCTACAGAGAAAAATCATCTGTGATTAGGTTGAATTTGTCCCCAAATGCACCTGCCTATCGTGCCATGCCATTTTCTGCTATATGCCAATGAAACTGGTAACTGAAATTCACACCCTTATACCCAAAGAGGGTGGTTACTAATACCCAAAAGCCTGAAGTCCAGTTCTACCACATGAAATCCAGTTGTCTAAAAGTTTTTCTTAGGCTTCTGTGAAAGGGTGCTAATGGAATACAGGCAGTGAATTCATTGCAACTGTTTCTACACAGATTCACTATGCCCACCCTAGTGTGTTTCCCAAGGAATATTAATAGCAGTAATAGAGACCAGATTTGACCGATCTATTTTCAGATATACAACATCACAAGTCTGCTAAAGTAGACCACTGAAAACATAAAAGCCTTATAAGTGAATGAAAGAAAATAATGTCTAGATATTTTTATCCCTTTTATTTCGGAAGGTGAATAAAGTGGTGAAGGAGATAACAGTAAACGCATTCGCTGGCTTTTAATAGTTCTTCTAAGGATTCAAAGAGGCTGGTCTTAGAATGATACATTAGAGTCAGATTTAAACCAGGACACTCCCCTAAGGGAGACAGCTGACATTATTGCTCTCTTCCCAGATACACAGTCAAGCCTGCTGACATTTCACACCAGGTTAGTCCAGCAGCTGTCACAGAGAAGGCAGACATTTAGTGCTCTGAGGATTCATGGGAGGATAGATTGTAAATGCAGGGTGCATACCTTAAAGTATACTACCAATTAGTCCTAACAAATGGCTTGTTCATGGAAAAAGGTGAATACTAAAAAAGAGGAAAAAAAAATAAGCTTGAGTAGTTTTTAGGATAATCTACAGATCAAGTCCAGGAAATCTTTTATCTCCAAGAAAAAAAGATGTAAGTTTACCCTTATATAGCCCCATACCCTGGAGCAAGGACTTAGATTGATTGTTACCACAGTTTCCTACCTCTATCCTGCAAGTAGAGTCCCTGAGTGGAGGAAGGCCTGAGAAAGAACAAAAGACATAGAGAGGAAGCAAGGAAAGATGCCACATCTAGGAGTGTATTTCTGAAAAGTTTTAAGAATCAATCAAAATATAATGTTTTAATGTGTTTATTCCCTAATTAGTTAACACAGTGATCAATGATCTTATACAGAATTAAAGCTAAAATCACAAAAGTGGTGAGGGACATTTTGAAAAATTCAGGCAAAATGTTTTTATCATGAATGACAGCTAGACACAAAGGTTACAATTGGCATCACAATAAAGCTGCAATGGTTATTTCAGTTTAGAGCCGCAAGGTGGTCTAGATAATTACAAATGGGCCAGCACTAAGGGCCATGATATAGCAAGGGTCTTCTTTTGGGAAAAAGAGAGCAAACAAAGATTTAGGGGACACGCTGATTGACTATGAAAGTGTGCTTACTAATCACCAAGTCAGACTCACCGCTCAAGTTCACCTAGGTCAGGACTGTATTTACAATCCTTATCACTTTTCCTTACCTAAGTATATCACTGATAGTGATTTCAGGGATGAACTTTTGAAGGTACTTCACTGTTGCACCAAGAAAACAGGCTTTATACATTTCATTAACTCCATAGGAGAAATTCTGGGACACCAGTTTAATTAAGCCACTGAAAACAGAGACAAAAATCTTTATCAGAGAAAGGAATTCTTTATTACTAAAACATCTTTACAACTATTGGATTTTTTTTTTGGCGGCATCAGAGAAATATAGGCAAAGTCAGAAAAAGTACACATTAAAAGCAAATCAACTTTTGACAAATATCAGAAGCAAATGTCATCAACTCAAGAGGTAAACATCTTCCAAACTCAAATTCCCAAGGAGTGCTTGTTTCAAACTGGGATTCTATAAACCCTGCCAACATGAAGATTTTCTAATGCAAATATTACATGCTTTCAACACACCCAAAAGGCGTTAATAGACCCTTTCTTTTTTGTGGGGGACAGGGTCTCACACTGTCTCCCAGGCCAAAGTGCATTAGGTATAATCACAGCTCGCTGTGGCCTCAACTTCCTGGGCTCAACGGATCCTCTTGCCTCAGCCTCCCAAGTAGCTGGGACTACAGGCACGAGCCACTATATCTGGCTAATTTTTCTCATTTTTCTAGAAACAGTTCTTACTATGTTATCCAGACTGGTCTCAAACTCCTGGTCTCAATTGATCCTCCTGCCTCAGCCTCCCAAGTTGCTGGGGGCATTAATAGATATTTAAAGCAGGGCATGAAACAAGTCTACCGTACTTTTCTTTAGTCAGCCAATGGTAAGATATTTTAGTTGTGATTCTCAAGTGAGACTCTGCAGAGCCTATGAATGTATGTAATTTTACATGTACACATGCTGGGAAGCCCCATCCCAAACTTTCTGTTTTTCAGAATCTGTGGAGGATGAAACCCAAGTATAGCTTAAAAAGCATTCTAATGATTTTGACGTGAAACCCTCTGGAGAGGAACATTGCTAAAATGACCAAATAAAATACATCATTAAGTTATTTTTTTTACAATAGTAAAGAATGTTCATCCTAGGTCAACACAATTGTACTGTTAGTTTTCTACCAAAAAAAAAAACCAAACCCTGTGGTCATTAGTAATTTCTCCAGTGGCTTACAAGATGATGGTAACTGGCTTGTAATGATCTTATCAAAGTAAGCCATCTATTGATTTTGAGAGAAACTTCTTCCTTTTTGTTTTCAAACTCAATTAGGTTAACAATATAAGATTTGCATTACCAGATGTGTGAATGGCTCTTGGCCTTACCTTATTTTTAACCAAGACATCACCCTGGTTCATCAGAATTTTCTTGAAGTAGTTAAAACATTATGTTTATTCGACAAAGCTCTTAATTTGAATTAATAGTGCTTCAGCTCTTTTAGAATTTGTCTAGTGGGTTTTCTGGTTTTCACTGAAAGACCCAAAAATAAAAAATAAAAATAAATAAATTTGGATTAATAAAAATTCAGTATACCAATCATAAATATGAGAATTCACTAAGTAGAATATCAGGAAAGGCAAAATTTCCCACATTAAAATTATAAGCAAGGCCAGGTGCAGTGGCTCACGCCTGTAATCCTAGCACTTTGGTAGGCCGAAATGGGAGATTCACTTGAGGCCAGGAGTTCGAGGCCAGCCTAAGAAAGAGTAAGACCCGTCTCTACAAAAAATAGAAAAAATTTGCCGTGCATGGTGGTGCACACCTGTAGTTCCAGATACTCAGGAGGCTGAGGCAGGAGGAACACTTCAGCCCAGGAGTTGGGGTTGCAGTGAGCTATGATGAAGCCACTGCACTCTAGCCTCAGCGCCAGAGTGAAACTCTGTCTCAAAAAAAAAAGCACATCCTGTAGGAGCTGGATTTTGTGGGGCAAATAAATAAATAAAAATGTAAGCACATAAAATCAGTTTTTAAAGTAAATAAAGTTGTTACCTATTTATAATTATATCCATAACATCTCTGGCATTGAAGTCAAAGGGTCTGTAACCCTCCCGCTTAAAGGCAAGAACTGCATTAGGCCCTAGCCAAATATTGCCATCCATCCTTGGTGTGAAGTGAACTCCTAGGAAAGGAAACCGGCTATCTGGGACCTATGGATGTAACACAGCAAAGAACTATTAGCCCCATCTCTCATTTCATTTTATTATATATGCAAACATTTAATTGGTAATATAACACACTTTCTTCTCATGCATATAATTTACACAATGACTTGTACACAGATATACTTTTTTATCAACATGTTTCTGCTTAGAAATGCCACACAAGAAACACTGATGCTGTGGACACTTGGACACTAATACACACTGTCCCAACTATCCATCTTTCTGGGTAAAGAAAAAAAAAAGATGAACTGTCCTACTTCAGGTTATTCTCTCTCTCTCTCCTATAACAAAGGACGTCTGTGACGGGCAAGTAACATCCATTTGCAGCACAGGCTTTTGCAAAATGGGAATGTATGAGGTTGAAACACATGAAATTCATGTTTTAGTAAGGTAAAAACATCGAATAGCTGAATATTGACTGTTTCACTGGTTCAACCTAATATATTTTAAGAGATTCATTCATTTCCAGGCTAGTTCCAGACAGAAAAATGAACTCTTCATTTAGACACTTCTGCCTTGTACTCCCTGAAACTATAGAATGGCCACATCCCTTTTCTGCACCTATAGACAGACAGTGAACTGAGAAAGAGGGTTGGGTATCTGGGAATTCCATTGGGAAAGTTTTCTTACGAGTACTCCCTCCATGGAGAGGAGGAAGAATCTGGTTAAGAAACCTTAATATACTTCCCATAGTGCACTCATGCTTTCTGGAACATGTACATGTGGGCAATTAATTATAATTTTGATATCAAGATAAAGATTTAGGGATCTAAATGTAAGAGAAACAAATGAAATGTTTACACAAACAGCCCTTCAAAATGTCTCTTACTTTTGACCCAGGTAAAAGTTTTTGTTTTCATTCCCTTTACGCCCATAACCAGCTCGAGGAGAGTGAGAAGGCAGAAGCATCATTACCTACCGGATAAATATTTCCTTTTACAAGATAGCATTTTTCTGGCTTTAAGAGCAGGTAATCTCCCCGGAATGGTACAATCTGAGGATCAGGACTGCAGCCACTCAACTCTGAAATTCGGTCTGAGTAAAGTCCTGCACATGTCACAACATACTGACATCGAATTTCCTCTCCCTAGTGCAAAATAAAAGAACAGTGATTTGTATAAAGGAATAGAATAGGTCAAAAGGGGAAAAATAGATGATAGAAAAGGAAAAAAAAAAAGTGCAGCAATGGACTTTTTTTTTTTTTTTTTTAAAGACAGGTTCTCACTCTGTCACCCAGTGGCAAGATTATGGCTCACTGTAACCTTGAACTCCTGGGCTCAAGTGATACTCCTGCCTCAGCCTCCCAAGTAGCTGGGACTACAGGTGTGGTGTTACCACATCTGGCTAAGTTTTTTTTTTTGAGACAGGGTCCCACTATGTTGCCCAGGCTGGTCTCAAACTCCTGGGCTCGGGCAATCCTCCCACCTCAGCCTCCCAAAATGCTGGGATTACAGGCATGAGCCACTTCACCCGGCCAGAAATGGACTTTGTTCTAAAAGAGGAAATCCAGTGCAGGTATTAACAAAATAAATTCTTCAGCACTTAGGTGGCAGCTAGAGACTTAGGATAGTGGCATGCAGGAGGATGTCACTTTAAATTTTATACTTTAAATTAGAGATACTAATTAGACCTAGCAAGGATACTTAATCAGCTATACGCACCTACACAAACCAACCTATTTTATCAGGACCTAGCAGGGAGCTTCTTAACTATTTGTCATAGAAAGAAGCAAATTTCATTTAGATGGCCTCTGCCAATTTGGCCTCCTCTGTATTGCAGACAGCTTCTCCTGTTTTATCTGAGTAATTACCCTATTACTCTTTTGTTGCTTTATACACAATAGTCCTGCTCAATTCCAACTCTAACCTATCTACCAACCAATTTCTCCTTCCTCCTGATCGACATCTACTTAGGTTACCAAGGCAACTAAGGCTACTTTAAAAATATCATTCATTCAACTCACATTTACTGAGAGCACACACTGCAGCGAAGGCTTGCTCTCGTGACTAGGAGACTGCTAATGTTAGGCTGTTATGATTTCCCACAAATATTTTGTGATTATCATCTGCATGTTTTTTAGCTTCACCCTGCCAAGTTTAGCAAATTTGCCCACCCTATTCCTAAAGCATCTAACCCCCATTGACCACCATACTCTACTTATCATTGCTTTGCTTCTTGTAGGGTAAACAACTAGCAACTCCTTGTTCTTATTTAGATTTTCTTCCCAGCCTTGGAGTTCTCATCTATCTCAACATTTTCTTTCTTTCAAACTGTCACTGATTCAGCCTTATTCTACTGAGCTATGTTTTCATCTCTATATGCATCCTATTTTTGCCCTTGCTAGACAGTTCAGCATCTTTTCAGGAGTTATACATGTCACATTTTTGGCAAAAATCAGATCAAACTTCTCCATAGTGAAGTCAAATTAGTTAGACTGAACCACGATAGTTTCAACACCTTTGAAATCAAAAGGGCTATATAAGCCACAACAGAAAATGCCTTCTTCTAAATAGGTTAATATCTTTCCTGTTTATCTAGAGTTGTATACCAGAAGTATAAGAAAGACTTTTATGTGATATAAATTTACTAGTTCCTACTTAAAAGGTCAGCAGTTCTTTTGTTCTTGGAACATAAAATGCAGTTAGGCTTTATGATAAATGTAAAGATAACAACAGAATTTGTAGAATGGTACCAGCATGCAATAAGCTAATGGTTCTCTTTAAAAACTCAAGCAACAGTTCCAAAGAAAGAAATTACTAAAAACTATCACAGGTCTCTTAAATCCTTTTATGCTATACATGAAAAAATAATTAAATTCAGTAACATATAAATTTTACTTTCAAACCGAAATTTAAGTAAACATTGAATGATACATTTGTTCAAACATAAACTTCTTTTAAAACAAAAGCAAAAACCATGTATCTCTATTGCTCTTTCATAAGCAAAACATTGTCTCCCCCATATCCAATGTATAAATCTTTATTGAGCAAATCCTCTCCCCAAAAGTTTATTTTAAAAATTCCTTTTCTGACAGGCATGGTGACTCATGCCTATAATCCTAGCACTCTGGAAGGCTGAGGCAGGAGGATCACTTGAGCCCAGTAGTTCAAGAACAGCCTGGGCAATATAGCGAGACCCCGTCCCCACAAAAAAAAAAAAAAAATTAGCCAGGTGTGGTGGCATGCCCCAGTAGTCCTAGCTACTTGAGAGGCTGAGGTTGGAGGATAACTTGAGCCCAGTGTTCAAGGCTACAGTGAGCTATGATTGCGCCACTGCACTCCAGCCTGGGAGACAGAGCGAGACTATTTCTTAGGAAAAAAAGAATTCCTTTTCTTTTTTTAATATACCTCTCATAAAATCATTTCAATATAAGTAGACCTAAAAATTTTAATTTGTGCCCCAAAACTATACTAAATGAAAATGCTGAAATAAAAAGCAACAGTTATAGTAACTATGGGGAAAATATATATCCATTAGTATGCCATAGGCCACTGCATATCTTCCATCACATGATGCCATACTCTAATCCCTTAAATAAGGGTGAGCACAGAAACAGATTTTTATCCTTCTTTGAATGGAAACCCTGGTTGCTTTGCCACTTGGACCACATACTCAGCAGATCTGATGGTAACTGAAGTGTCTGTGGCAGATAGTGATGTTTTATAGAAACTTTGGCAGGACCCTAAGGGAAATGATAACACAAAACTTCAGGATTTTGGAGGAAAGTTACACAATCCTCTGCAGATAACTATCCTCTTTTTGAGAAAGTGCTTCTGGCTTTGACTGAACACTTGACCACAGGTCACTAAGTTACCATATGAACTACCCCATTATTAACTGGGTATTGTCTGACTCACCAAACCACAAAATTGGGTGTATACAGCAGCACTCCATTATCTAGAGGAAGTATAATCCATAAGATCAGAGTTGTACAGGTCCTGCAGGCACACATAGGTTGCAGAGGAAAGTGGCTCAAATTCCCATGACCCCTACCGTTGCTAAACTGCCTCCTTTCTCTCAAACTGCCCCGAATGGCCTCACAGGGAGTTCTCTATGACCAGCTGACCAAGGAAGAAAAAAATACAAGCCTCATCTACAAATGTTCCTCACAACAGTCTGGCACCACTCAAAAGTGAACAGCTACAGCATCGGAGCCCCACTCAGAAGTGGTCCTAAAGGACCGTGGTGAAGGGAAAACTTTCCAGTGGGCAGATCTTTAAACATCACACCTGATGGTTTATCTTACCTAGAAGGAGAGATGGTCAGAGGTATGGATCTACACTGCTTCATGTGCAATAACTAATGGTTTGGCCGGATGGTCAGAAAAAGGAGCTCTGGGGAAAAGGTATATGAATGGACCACTCCAAACAGGCTCACAGGGTAAAAATATTTGAGTTCCATATGAATGCTCACAGAAGAGTAATCTTGGCCAAGGAAAATTTTAATAATCAGTAGAAAAAGATGACTTGCTCTGTGGATGTTAGTCAGCCTCTTTTCCTAGCACTCTGTTTTTACCTGATAGTATCATGAACTAAACAGTTAGGGGAAGGGATAGTCTTTTCAATAAATGGCACTGGGAAAACTGGATATCCACATGCAAAAGAATGAAATTGGATCCCTGTCTTATATCACTCACAAAAACTAACGTGAAATGGATTAAGAGACAACCTAGGGAATAGTAGAAAATATTTGCAAACCATATGCCTGATAAGAAGTTAACATCCAAAATATTAAATATATAAGGAACTCACACAACTCAATAGCAAAAGAATAAATGAACTGATTTAAAAATGAGCAAAGGAACTGAATAGAAATTTTTTCAAAGAAGGCATACAAATGTACAGCATGGTGACTATAGTTAATAATACTGTACGGTATACTTGAAATTTGCTAAGAGAGCAGATCTTAGGTGTTCTCATCACACACACAAAAAGATAGTAACTATGTGAGGTGACAGATGTGTTAACTAACTTGATTGTGGTAATCATTTCACAATGTATATCAAATCATCACATTATATACCTTAAATATACATAACTTTGCTTGTCAATTATACCCAAATAAAGCTGAAAAAAAAATAATATGGTGGCAAGGATGGAGGTGATACATGGCCTCAGCAACAAGGTCTCACTCACCAAGGCTGATCTGTCTACAGCCACAGCTGAGTGCTCAATCTGCCAACGGTAGAGACCAACATAGCAACTTCTATGGTCCCTGGGCTCATCATAGAAAAGGCAGCATTTAGTTCTTACTGGAATAGACATTTGCTCTGGATATAAATTTGTCTTCCCTGCCCACAATGCTTCTGCTGAAACCACTGTCTATGAACTTATATGATGCCATATTCACCCTCATAGTATTTTACATAGAAGGATTACTTCTGATCCGTGAACTTATTTTGCAGCAAATGAAATGCAGCAATTGGCTCATGCTCATGGAATTCACTGATTTTACCATTTTCCCCATCATCCTGAAGCCACTGGGTGAAAGAAACTAGAATGGACCTTAGAAGACTCAGTAACAGCACTAGCCGGCTGGCAGCACCTTGCAGGGCTGGGGCAATGTCCCCCAGGATACTCTATGTGCTCTAAATCAGTGACTAATATTGTTATTTTTTTCTCCCAGAGCCAGGATTCACAGGTCTAGAAATCAAGAGGCAGAAATGGGAGCAGCCCTTTACTATTACCCTATTGATCTACTAAGTGAAATTTTTGTTTTCTATCTCTGTAATTTTGGTCTCTGATGATGTTAGTTCCCAAGAGAGAAATATTTCCATTAGAGAATAAGCAACTTGAAGTTGATATTGCCATACCTGGCCACTTTGGGTTCCCCATGCCAGTGAATCAGTGGGCAAAGAGGAGATTGCAGTACTGAATGGGGTAACTGAGCCTGACTCTCAATGAAATAGAGTTGCTTTCACACAGGGCTTGGAGATGACAAAGAGAATGTCTAGAATACACATTCCCTGGGGCACCTCTTAGTATTCCCATGTATTGTTATAAAATTTATTGGAAACTACCACAACCCAAAATAGACAGGGCTGCTAATGACACAGATACTTCAGGAACAAAGTTTGGGCTACCCCACCAACCAGGAACTGACCAGTTGACATGCTTGCCAAAGGCAAAGAGAATATGGAATGGATAGTAGAGGAACAAAATTATAAATATCAGCTATGACCACACAACTACTTACAGGAATGAGGGATGTTATAGTTATGAGTATTTCTTCCTTACTTTGAAATATATATATTTATCTATACATTATCCAATTCTTTCTTTATTCCCATTGTTACAGACAGAATTGTATCCTCTCCAAAATTCTTATGTTGAGGCCCTAACCCCCAATGTGACTGTTTTTGGAAACAAGGCCTTGAGGGAGGTAGCTGAGGTTAAATGAGGTCATAAGGGTGGGGCCTGATTCAATAGGACTGGTGTCTTTATAAGAGGAAGAGACACCCAAGTCACTCTCTCTCTTTCTGGGCACACACACAGAAGGGGCCATGTGAGGACACAGTAAGAAGGTGGCCACTTAAAAGCCAGAAAGAGGTCTCACCAGAAACCAACCCTACCAGCACCCTGATGTTGAACTTCTAGCCTCCGGAATTGCGAGGAAATAAATTTCTGTCGTTTAGGTTGCCCAGTTTGTGGTATTTTGTTATAGCAGCCTGAGAAAACTAATACATTTATCTCTACCATTCCCCCATTATTTAACACAGAGTTTCTCAACTTCAGTACTACTGACATTTGGAGCTGGACACTTCTTTGTTTTGGGGGCCTGTTCCCCACATTGAAGGATGTTTAGCAGCATTCCTGGCCTCTACCCACTAAATGCCGGTAGCACCACCCCTCCCCTTCTAGCTGTGACCACCAAAAATGTCTCTAGACATTGCTGAATACCCCCTGGAAGCAAAATCACTTCCAGTTGAGAACAACTTATCTAATATAAGATACTTAAAGGGTGGTTAACCTTATATCTAAGTATTTAAGTTACAGGATCTCAAAGGGAGAGTATGACTAGCTAGAAAGAATGAACACCACCCAAAGATGGATAAAGTAGACTCTGCATCTTTTTTGAAGAGAGTGAGCATGTCTTTGGTTTTATGCGGGATAGTTATATCTTATTAAATGGAAGCATAATTTTACTACTGTCTTTATTTGCAAGCTAAATATGGTTATAAGGGGTGTGGGTGGATGTCGAGTTTACAAGCGGGGGACTACAGGGGTTTGTACTGTGACAATTTGGTTAAGCTGGAAACTGTGCTTGACAGAATCCTTTTCTGCATGGTTTCAACTTAAAGTTGACCAGAACAGGAACTGCATATGACCTGCAGGCAAAAGTAAAACAGCAGCCACTATTCTTTGAAGGGCAGCCTAGTGCAGTGTTGTGACAGACAGATACCCACTGCTCGGTGAATTCCAGCTCCATATCCAGCTGTTTCCCAACTACTGATCCACCACCTCCCTTCTGAACCTCTGCTTCCTCAGAGCCTTTCACAACTGTGTAAAGCCTAATTCCTATAATAAATCCTGTAGCATTCATTGATGACCCTGCTCCCCTGCATAAACCCTGGGGAATCTAAGGCTTCTGTGCCATTTAATGTTTCTTGCTTTAGGACTATGTGAAGAGGAAGGAGAGCAGTCCATCTCCCTCTGCACAACCTTCACACCCCATCACCACCAAAATCTTTCAATTAGTAGAGAGTCAATAAGTCAATGTAGATCAGTAGGCAGAGAGATAAAATATCTATCAGTTTTACCTTAAAATTAAACACTCCAAGTGCTTATAATCCTATTCTTTGCTAGCACAGCCACTTTATGAAGACATTCCCAACTTGCAACCCTTCTTAGAATGAAAGCTGTTAAACTGCTCTAAAAGAATTTCTCTCAGAATTACTTTTACATTAGACACATTTCATTTAATGACTTAAAATACAGCAGTGTGGGTTAATTCAACTTTTTAGGAAAGGGGAAGGGATGAAAGTAAACAACAGTTTTGCTTAAGAATCTTTACCTTTGTATTCTTTATAACAATCGGGTATTTCATTCCTGAAAAAAAAAAAGAATTTGTAAAAGATTTATTTTTAGCAAAAGAAGGCCAACATTATTTGAACTATTATACTAGTAACAAACTTAAATGATCTTCGTCATAACCATGACTGCACCCTACTTTTCATTCTGAAGCTTTTTACCAAGTAACAAGATTAAACTAGTTCATACTTGACAATATATAAAACTCTAGCATGTTTCCAGCTTGTTTTATTTTAACTCATCTAATCTATGCTTATAAACTATTTCCCACCTCAGCTCCAACATAGGCAGTCCCAGTTTTTCTCTGAACTATAATCCTGGAAATCATGCTGTACAAGGGATTATCATAAATGAGTATATATTTTCCCACAGGACTAAAGCTATGATATGAGAAACTTGTGTCCAAGTGTCGGTTACCTGATTCCTTACAGGTTCTAGGTTGTTTAGAGAAGTAAGAGTTATCACAACATAAAAACGTCTTATAATAAACTATTTATAAAATTAGTTCCCATTCAGATACATGGAATCTCAAAGTCTTATAAAGCATATGTATGTCAAATGAAGAATAGAATCTACCTGTAACATAAATTTGATTTATTATGCTACCTACCTATAACAAACTTCATTATTTAAAAATTTTGCTTATTATCTTAGAATTCAGGAGGACACTGAGAATGATTCAGATGGCCTAGATGTTCTTCAAAACTTGTCAAGGAAGAAAGAACGGAGCACTACTTCTTTTCTTCTTCAAATTTCCCAACAGCCAATAGAAGGCTTAAAAATCTTTCATTCAGTTAAAAAAAAAAATTAAAGTCTTCAGAGCAAAATAAAACAAACTCTAAGTGTAGTGTTAGATGGAGAGGGAAAGGTAGTTCAGAATGGCTGAGCCATTTTATGACCTTGGGCTATCATTCTGAAACTCGGTGTATCTAAGAATCACTAAAGGCTTATTCCAAGACAATCTGATTCAGTAAATCTTTTTTTTTTTTTTTTTTTTTTTGAGACAGAGTCTTGCTCTGTTGCCCGGGCTGTGGCGTCAGCCTAGCTCACAGCAACCTCAAACTCCTGAGCTCAAGCAATCCTTCTGCCTCAGCCTCCCAAGTAGCTGGGACTACAGGCATGTGCCACCATGCCCGGCTAATTTTTTATATATGTATTTTTAGTTGTCCAGATCATTTCTTTGTATTTTTTTAGTAGAGGGGGTCTCGCTCTTGCTCAGGCTGGTCTTGAACTCCTGACCTTGAGCGATCCACCCGCCTCGGCCTCCCAGAGTGTTAGGATTACAGGCGTGAGCCACCGCGCCCGGCCTGATTCAGTAAATCTGGGTGATGCTAACATCTGCATTTTTAACAAGCATTGCCAAGGGATTCTGACTCTAACCTGCAGGGTAGCGAAGTGTTTGGGGGCTAATTTTCCATAAACAGCCTTGCCAGATTTTAGTGCCAGTCAGAAGTGTCTGATTAGTGTCTAGTTCTATCTCAGAAGACCTTCCAGAGTCCTGGTTCTCCCACATTCAGTCTCACCCTTGTCCCTTCTGTACCTACCTATGGTTCTGTACCCCACTCTAGCCTCTCTCCTGGTGGCCCTTCCACCAGCACTACCCCAGACAAAAACAGTCCCAAGTTTTTTTTTAACAAGTCAATACAAGTACAGTAGTCCCTCAGTATCCATGGAGGATTGGTTCCAGGAACTCAAAGAATACCCAAATCCACAGATGCTCAAGTCCCTTGTATAAAATGGCACAGTGTTTGCATATAACCTACGCACATTCTCCATATACTTTAAATCATCTCTAGATTACTTATAATGTAAATGCTACGTTATCAGCTGTTATACTATATTTTTAAAATTTGTATTATTTATTGTCATACTGTTATTTTTTATTATTATTTTCCCTGAATATTTTCAATGCTGGGGTGGTTGCATCCACAGATATGGAACCAACAGATACAGAGGGCTACTGTATTCAATAGAAAAGACAAGGATGGCTTACCATCTTTACTTCTAGAAGGGCTTTCTTTAGCCATTTCAATATCTTTTACTTCAAAACTGGTCAAGACAGAGCCACCTGCTTCTTGGAAATCCTGGGCAAACGACAAAGCCACCTGCCGATAGTCCACAATGCCAGTATATGGACAATCAATAGCCATTAGACCCTGGGACAGAATTATGAAAACATATACAACATATATATAATGTGTCTAACAGATAAAAAACATTAAAAACAGATAAATAAGAAAATCTCTATAATCAGAAAACAATTTTCTCCCTTAGAGGAGTTAATTTTGCCAGGTTCTCCCAGCTGCTACTCCATTTATTCATCCCTCACCGTATCTGATTCTGATCTGATTCATATGTGATTCTGAGTCAAATTCTATATCATCAAACAAGTATATTTTAAATATGCTCTACTGAGATTTTCCCAGATTTTCCCATGTCATGCACATTCAGTGAGAACTCAGAGTTGTTCTAGTTATTCACAATGTTTGCAGAGCATTGTTTTGATTTGCTGCAGACCTTATACCTTATATTCAAGACTAAAAGTATGGAATGAAGATTTTAATGTGGTTAACTCCAACTTTCTCTTCAGATAATATTAGAAATTAACAGCCTGTTTTTTCATTTGTTTGTTTGTTTGTTTCTATTTTTGTCCCTCAAGACATGTCCAAACTCTGTAGATAAATGAACTATAACCCATGCTTATTTTATTTTTTGGAATGAATGTTGAAAATGCCATTGGCCTTTTCTAATTCCAAAGAAAAGGGTAAGAGTAGAATTTTACACACTAAATATGGACTACATTTTGGTGATCCTTGTCAATAGCACCATTTTCTGTTGCATTATTGTATATATATCAGTTCTCCCAATCAATTTCCCCTAAGAGGATAGCCTGGTTTCCAGGATAACTTAACATCCAGAAGCTGAATGTAAAGCAACTAGTAAAATTCTGCCATCCTATTATTTGGCCAGCACAGCAGTGTTGTTGTTGTAGTTTTTAAATATTATCCGATATAATATCATTTTAAATATCTCATTCTTGTATTCGCCACCCTGCCCCCACCTCAACACCTTTACCTGCTTAGCCCTTACAAGCTTTTGACTTGCCATCCAACCCTGACCAATGCTTTCAAATGGCCAGATCATTCTAAGGGTAAAGACTCAGAAAACACCAATGATCTCTTTTCCCAAACTGAAAGCAACATTTGGCAAACTTCAATGTTTTCCTGACAGTCTTGTTTCCAGAATATGAGAGCATTTACCAAGTATAGGAAATCATTCCATTTTGATACATTTGTTGCACATAGGACTTTACATTAGACCTAGTCACTGTCCAATAATCTCTAAATTTACAGGTTAATAACTATAACTCAGCTTCAACCTATAAATAGTATTCTGGGTTCAATAACTTTGAAAGCTAATTTAAGGTAATACCAAGAGTTTAGTCCACAAAATTTTCCTTACCTAGCATAAAACTATGCGACAAGTATAATAGATAACAAGAGGGATAAAAACATGCTGTAAAAGTGCTTTGTTCTGGATCAGTAGTTTTTTGGAATACCAAATATCTTCCTTATTAATATTTTATTATTATCCAGCACAATGCGTGACACATAGAAGGCACTCAAATATTTAAGCAAAGGAATGAAATTTTGAGGGCTGCCTTTAAACATACAATATTTCTCCTACTCCAGACCTTCTCTAAAGGGTTTCCCTTTTCTTTCTCTTTCTAGTCTTGGCTTTGCCCCTCCCCATGAGATGCTGGTGTGCCCCACCTATATGTGTGTATTGGGGAAAGGTGGAGAGAGTCACCACTGCCAAGCAATCCAATGCCCTGGCCCAGGACTAGCTGCAGCGCCAGGGCTGAGGCAGCCAAGTCAGGATGGCACTGGTAGACAGACTGGCTGTGTCTGTTAACCAGGAGGCTGGTTATGCACTGTCCAGGTCAGCAGGTCAGAGCTTGAAATCTGAAGCCATGGCAGGTCAGGTGGCTAGAAAAGAACCAGGCAAGCAGGACAGGGAAAGTTGGGAGTAGAACTCAGTCAGGAGACAGAGAACAGATGAACATGTGGTTGGCAATCATGTTAAAGGCAAGGGAGAAGGATCAGCAAAGCCAAGGTCAGAGGTAGTAGTTAGGATCTACCCAAGGAGCTGCAAGGGTTACAAAGTCAATGTTTACAGAGGCAGTTTAAAATTTTCCAAGAGCCTCCCCCTGGTGACACTTAGTTTTCTTCTTAAAGGGACCTGGTCCAAAAAGCCCTTTAGAGTTGCTCTGATAAACAACTTATTTCCAGAAGGCCTGGAAGAAACAGAAGTGATCTTGTACATGGAAATTTTCCCCACTGTTTCTGGCAGTGGTGGTGAGGTTGGGGGAGAAGGGAAGAATTTATTCAAGCAACTTTTATGAAATAATCAGACTATATTTCCCACTATATATTGCCATCCCTAAATACATGTAAACACTAATGATTACATCTTGGCATTACATAAAGTACATCACTTCTGTGGAGGTCTCAGGGAGAAGTAGGATACACACCTTTTGTAAAAGTTACTCAACTCATTCATCTTTCAAGGTGGGAGGTCATCTCTGAGAAGGTCTTCTTAAACCCTTGGACTAAGCTAAAAGTATGCCCTTACATTGGTACAAAACAGAGAACCTATCAGCTCTATCAGAATATTTATCACTATATTAAAATGATATTTTCTGCTACACTATAACTCCCTTCAGGTTGACAGCCATGTCTTATTCATCTTCACATCAGCAGTGCCTTTCAGAGTGTTTGGCACATGATAAACAAGAAAATTTGGGTTTAACCAAATGGAAAAAAATACCAGTTCCGAGTCAGATCTTGGGCTGGGGAACTCTTTAGGAGCTTTGTGACCCTGGGAAAGTAGCAACCAGTTTGTCTATTTATAAGACACAAAAATACACATATATATGTAATTTTATTACCTATACACACATATCTACCTCATTCCAAGGTGCAGAGAACAGTATCCACACTCATCCTTAACCTTTACAACATGTAAAAAGTTTTGTTTTGCTTTTTCAATAAAGTGCGATATAAAGAATCATGGGTTCCTGTTCCTATTTTTTCTGTCTTTAAATTCTTCACAAGGATACACAACAGATAACAATCAGATGAAATCTCCCAAATCCCCCAAATTTCAGTACCATGAGACAACCAGAATCCTGCTTTTTTTACCTCATGACCAAATCTACAGGGGGTGCTCAGCAGCTCTGGCATAATTTTTTTTTCTTCTTGATACCAATCTTAAAGTTTGAAAGAGCTTTTCATTAGTAAATAAAAATAACACCATGTTAAAAGCTGGCATGCCTTTTTGAAGGAAATTATCAATTGTTTCATTTTCAAAGATCATATTTGATAGAAACATGTCAGTGAGATTCTGTTTATAAATTCAAATTTGAAAAAAATTTTCCATTTTATTAGTACTATTTTTTAAATCTTTAGAACGTGTGAACCTTTTTAGTTGACATGTAATAATTCTATGTATTTGTGGAATACAGAGTGATATTTTAATGAACGTATACAATGTGTAATAATCAAAACAGTGTAATTAGCATATCCATTACCTCAAATATTTATCATGCTTTGTGCTGTGAAAATTCAAAATCCTCTCTTCTAATTTTTTAAAAATATATGTCAGTGAGATTCTGACATCTTTGTTTCACAGCCAAATTCCATCAAAATCACATAAAGCTATGAAACAGCAATTGGTTCAGTGTACTTTCAGGAAGCACATGTCAAATAAAATTTATAGGAGAACACTGTTTTGGACTGAGCTCCTGCACTAGGCCCAACAGACCAAATCAAAATGGAGTCACTCAGGCTAAAAATTCCCTATCACCAGACCAAAACCAAGCTGCTTATCTGACATTCCAAGAAATCAGGAAAGAGAGATAGCCAAATCCCCAAATAGGTCAGTGTTAGCCAGCATGATAAGCAAGTCCCCTCTGTTTTAACCTTATAAGGAAAGTAACAACCAATCTGCCTTTTGTTTCCTGTTTCTGCTTTCTTCAGTTCTTTTCTCCCTACAAAGCCAAACTCTTACTCACCTCATCGGGAGTGCCTTTTCTAAATCTTTGGCTGAGATGCTCCCTTGGTTCATGAATCACTAGTAAAAGCCAATTAGATCTTTCATCTAAATTTGTTGTAATTTTGTCTTTTAACACACTCAATAGTTTTGTAAAGCACTGTATAGATTAGGAACAGGAAGTGAGTTTAATCTTGTTTTTTAATAGGCTATTTTTTTAGAGCACTTTTAAGTTCACAGCAAAACTGAGCAAAAGGTATAGAGATTTCCCATACACTCCCTGCCTTCACATACATTTAACCTCCTAAATTCTTAATTTTAATACTAGTATTTTTTTTCCTTGAAGCATGACATCAGTCTAAACAGTAAATTCTTATATGAGTTATTCATAATCCTGGTTTTACAATATGCTAGGATCTCTCTCCATTGTTTTTAAATAGCCTATTTCACTCTATAAAGGAATTGCTAGGGCTTAAAGGAAATAAACAGCATAAAATAATGAGTTAAAAGTAAAGCGTTTGACCAGGTGGTGGCTCACGCCTGTAATCCTAGCACTCTGGGAGGCTAAGGCAGGAGGAATGCTTGAGCCCAGGAGTTTGAGGTTGCTGTGAGCTATGATGATGCCACTGTACTCTAGCCTGGGTGATGGAGCGAGACTCTGTCTCAAAAAAAAAGAAAAGAAAAGAAAGTAAAGCATCAGGAAAGGGCTAAATATAAACCAGGGGGAAAGAAGACACATAACTAAATTTCTTTGATTATCTTAACAGATATCATGAAAAAGTCCCCAAATGTTTCAAACAAAATCCATTTTAATTTACTAGAATTGTTTAAATAAACATATAATAATATCTACCATTTCTTGAGAGGTTAACATATGCTGAATGCCTTACACATATTATTTCATTAAATTCTCAGAACCTCCATTTTACAAAAGAGAAGTTAGAGGCTTAGAAAAATTATAACCCTCCAAGTCAACAGCCATTAAAGAAGCAGATGTGAGAGGCGAATTTATGTCTGCATGACTTCTCGGCAGGTGCATGATATTGCTTATCTTATGTTAGATCCAAGTTAATAAAAAAAGAGAAGATATAGTAAGATAAAATAAAGGATAATATGTAAAAACTCCCTGCAGTCTGAGAATTACTGACCTATGATGTATAAGAGATATCAGTTAGGAATCGGACAATCCAAAAATAACTATAAATGGCTTTGGCTCTCCTCTCTCCCAGTCCAGATCCATCCTATGAACCAGAACTTGATTAACTTTCCTAAATTAGGATATTTCACACGTCACTGTTCTGCTCAAATCCTTCAGTGGTTTCCTACTATTTAGATCGGGTAGGTAACCTTTTCTATAAAGGCCAGACAGTAAATATTTTTGACTATGTGGGCTTATGATCTCTGTTGCAACTACTCGACTAAGCTGTCTGGCACAAAAGCAGCCACAGATAATATGTAAATGAATATGTGTGCCTGCATTCCAATAAAACTTTATTTATGGACACTAAAATTTGAATTTCATATAATTTTCATCTGCCACAAATTATTATTCTTCTTTTAATTTTTTTTTAACCATTTAACGACGTAAAAACCATTCTTAGTTCATAGGCCATACAAAAACATGTGGCAGGCTGGATTTGGCCCACAGGCTATAGTTTGCTAACCTTGACTTAGACCATTTAGTATTTGCCCAGAGCTTGAAAGAAGCAGGCAGCCAAAATGAGATAGTCAATGAAATGTGTCCTCTTTTTAAAAAAATTAGTCACTAATTCACCATCTCAGGGAGATAAGAAATATATGGGGAGAGGAAAGGGGAGTAAGAGGACCTAGTGTATGTATCCCACAAACAAAACACTGATTATCCTGACTGAGTCTCAGGGAAGGAACAGGTGGTTTGTTGGAGCTGAAGATACTATGATCCTCTTTGAATGAAGAACTTATTCAACCCTATTTGGATTCCTAAGTACTACCAGCCTCTTAGGAACTTTATACAAATTAAGAAAATCTTACATATTTTGACCCAGCTTGAACTTTACAACTAGAGATAACTTAAAGGAAAAAAATGTATTTCTATCTTGTCCTTTTGCAGAAAGGATTTGAAGTATTAATAGCTTATAAAAATAAACAAACAGGCTGGTTATCTCAATTGACTGTTCACAGTCATTTATAGATCAAACTCCTTGTTCTACTCTCTCCCTCCTTTTCACTACTGCATTTGACTAATCTTAAAAACAAACAAACAAAAAACACATACAAAACCATATAAACTAACATCAAACATTGAGTCGGCCAAATATATGAATTAGAAAGGAAGAAATAAAATTATTATTATTTGCAGATAACATGACTATGTATATAGAAAATCCAAAACAATTTATTAATGTAAACAAACTATCAGAATAAGTGAATTTAACTAGAAAGCTGGATACAAGGTCAAAAGTCAATTGTATTTCCATATACCTGCAAATAGAAAATGAACTTTAAATAACAATACTATTTATGAGTATCAGAAAACATCAAATACCTAGAAATAAATCTAAGAGACATGCAAGACTTCTAAATTGAAAATTACAATACCTTATGTAATAAATTAAAGAAAATCCAGATAAATGGAAGGATATATCATGTTCATAGACTGGAAGACTTAATATTATAAAGATATAAATTATCTCCAAACAGACCTTCAGATTCAGTGCAATCTCAGTCAAAAATCACAACAGGCTATCTTGTGAAGTTTAGCAAATTAATTCTAAAATTTATATGGAAATGCAAAAATCCAAGCATAGCCAGGACAATGTTGAGGAACAAAACTGAAGGATTTACTCTATCAGATGTCTAGACCTACTAAAAAGCTACTATAATTAAGACATTATGGTAGTAACATAAAAAGAGACAAAGAAACAGAACAGAGTCCACACTCTAGACCTACCCATACAGTCACCTGATATCACAAAGGTAATACTGCAGTGCAGTGGGGAAATAATGGTTCTTTTGATAAGTGGTGTTGGGTCAGCTGGATATCCATATGAGAGAAAAAAATGTACCTTGACCCCTACCTCATACTGTACACAAAAATCAATTCCAAATGAATTGCAGATCTAACTGTGAAAGGTAAAACAATAAAAATTTTAGAAAAACACATAGAATGTCTTCCAGACCTTGGGATAGGCAATGACTTCTCAACACAAAAAGCACTAAGCATAAAAGAGAAACATATACATAAATTGACAAATTGATTACATTAAGATTAAGAACCTCTGTTCATCTAAAGATGATATTAAGAAAGTGAAATATTAGGAACATTAGAGTGATAGAAGATATTTGTAATATATATAATGTGTATATGTATGTATATATAAACACAAATAATAAAAACCTCATATATAAAAGACTCAGATTATATAATAAACTTTTAAAATTAGTAAGAATTGATAATTATAAGAAAGACAGTGAACCCGGTAGAAAAATGGGAAAAGGACTCAAACAGGTACTTCACAAAAGAAAATATATAAATGGCCAATAAACATATAAAAAGGCACATAACTTTATGAGTCATCAGGGAAATGTAAATTAAAACCATAATATGATATTACTACATAACTACCAGAATGGCTAAAATGAAAACAACAAATAATATGAAGTGTTGATGAGGATACAGAGCAACTAGAACTCTCATACACTGTTGATGAGAGTATAAATGGCAAAAAACATTTTGGAAAACTCTTTGGTGATAACTGCCAGAGCCAAACATTTGTGTAAATTGCAACCTAGCAATTTCCCTCCTAGGTATACACTCAGTAGAAATGTGCACATGTGTTCACCAAAATATATGTGCTAGAATGTTCATAGCAGGACTATTTGGAATAGTCCCAAACTGGAAACTATCCAAATGCTCATCAACAGTAGAATGAATCACGCTACATTCATACAAGGGACTATCATACACAACAACAAACTACAACTACGTGCAACAATATAAATGAATTTCATAAACAATACTGAACACAAGAAGCCCAGATGCAAAAGAGTACATACCACCTGATTCCACTTATAAAAAATTCAATAACCCATGATGTAAGAAGTCAGGATAGTGGTTAACCTTCAGGAAAAGGTATTAGTAGAGGGCATGAAGGAAGTACTGGGAGGCTAGTCATGTTCTGTTTGTTGACCTGGATGCCTGGTCACACTTTGTAAAAATTCATTAGGCTATGTATTTATGATTTCTGCCATACATTATGGTTCCAAGAAATTGGGACAGATAGAAAATAAGGGTGGAAAGATAGATGAAGAGGGAAGTTAGTATACAGAAATAAAAATTTATGCTTAAGGTATCTGGCAGGAGTAGGGCACAAATGTGTCCTTGAGTTTCCTTGCAGCCAAGGCAAACAGGACAATGCGATCTGTTAAATGATTCGGTGTCCATTAGATTAAAACAAGCTAATTGTGCTTAGGAAGAACAAAATTATTGTCAGAACTAAGATCTGAGAGAAATCTCTCCTGAGGGTTCTCAGAACAAGATGTTGTGAAACACAGTGACACAACATATGTTCTCAACCACATCCTTGCAAGTAGAGGCCACAGTGATTGATACAATGACCTTCTCCATAGGCTGATGTCATAAAACTGAAGCACAATTCAAAGAGAGTAATTGGAGTCAAGGAGTAGGAGTAGAATGGGGAAGACAAAACATTGTAGCGTAGTTGTGCTACTGTGAATATTTGGAAAGATGTAGAGAAACAAATAAATGGTCTACATATCCTTCAGGCTATCTCCCATAGTGTTTCTCTAAACCAAGCTTTTGATAGGCATTGCCTGGTAGTGAGTTCAAGGTCATACTCTCCAAGACAGTCTAGCTATTGTATATTGTCAATAAAACAGTAAAAGAGAACAAACAGGAGATACAGCCATTCATTGGAACAGTCAGTGGAACTGGAGGGTTGGGTTGATAGTCTCTGAAAAGGTTATTGGTGAAAGTTATTTCATGTATCTACTTCTTCCTTTCTTCATGACTTTATTTTCTTCCTCCACCAAGAGGAATAATATGCAGAATAACTATTATATTACTATTCATGTCTCTTTCATGAATAAAGATGTTTTTTCCCTATAGCATGTTTTAAGCAAGATACTCTGCAACCCACCCTTCATACTCATGCCAGCCTTATCTTCCTAAAATATAGATCGGACACTGCAGCTACCCTCCTCAACAATTTTCAGTGGCTCTCCATAGCCTACTGGCTAAACTTCAAAATTATTAGCATGAATGCCTAACCCTGCCTTTCCAGTCTCATCTCTCATCTCTCCCTACACACCCTATGCTCCCAACCACACCTCACTGCTCAGTGTTTTCTAAATATGCCATATGGTCTCAGACCTTCTCTTGCCTTTATTTATGTTGGTCAGACCTGGTATTTTCTCACAGGGAAAGAAGAAATCAGGTGTCCAGAGTTTTCAGCAATGCCCCCTTGTGTCTGTCACTTCACTACTTCTACGGCAGGATCATCTTACTGATTTTATATGATTCCTGCCTCCTATGAACTCACCCTCAGCCTCCATGTCACAGGACCGAGCCCCAAATGAAAACAGCCCTTTGAACATGTGCATGAAGCTGGTGAATCACTTACCCTACAATATGGCTCCTTCTTTTTTATATCTTCCTGCTGGATCAGCCTCAGGCCCCGGACACCATTCTGCAGGCCTCTCTCATATAAGGCCTGAAGTCTGGGAATTTCTTCTTGTTCAACAGCTACAATAAGCTTCAGAAAATAAAAATGATAAAGCACATGGATACAGTTCAACATATCATCAGCTATGAAAGATAAAGTCAATGGAAAAGCATAAATTATCGTATAACACAAACAGCATGAATTTAGAAAAAAATTTTTTTCTTCATGTATCATCTACTTCTCCCTTTCTTCATAACTTTATTTTCTTCCTCCACCAAGAAAAGTTGTCTCAAGAAAATGGCATTAAAACAAATTTTCCCTGAAGGTGAAACATAGCCTCAATTGCTACTTGTTACTAGTCTCTACATGTACCTTGGCCAAATACAACTATTTTTTTTTTTTATTTCAGCATATTATGGGGGTACAAATGTTTAGGTTACGTATGTTGCCCTTGCCTCCCCTCCCCCCCCAAGTCCGTGCTTCAAGCGTGTCAATCCCTCGGATGGTGCGCATTGCACTCTGCAAATACAACTCTTATCACTAACACTCCTTCAGTCCCAGAGGGGAGAGAAGCACAGGTTGCTCAGGCTTTACAATTCTTTTTCCCAAAAGAGAATAGCCTTCTTATTTATATGAGAAAATATGAATTATCAGTACATCAAAATGACAGCTGGTATTCAGTGTAATGGAATATTACTGACAAAACTATCCCTTTTATTTCCTGGAATAAATTTCAAACTATTTACTAATGCATTCTATTGCAGAGGGAAAAAAACCACTAAATTCATCAACTTTACTCATGACCTTTTTTCTATTATTTCTGGGCAAAGTATCTGTTTGAAGTAGAGTTTCTTCCTTACTTAACAGTCACCAGCAAAGGAAAGCAGGTGCATTAGAATTCACAAATCATTATTTCAGACCAAGGAGTCGACAGAATTTCATGAGGTAATACTTTTAATACTATTTACTAATGCATTCTATTGCAGAGGGAAAAAAACCACTAAATTCATCAACTTTACTCATGACCTTTTTCCTATTATTTCTGGGCAAAGTATTGCAAATCATATAGCTGGTAAAGGTCTAGTATCCAGAATATATCAAGAACTCTTACAACTCAAAAATAAAATCTGTAAATACAGTTTGATATTTTGCTTTTTCCACTTAACATTATGTCAGGACCATTTTACTATATTACCAAATAATTAATCTTAAAAACAAATGAAATCAAAGGACACATTCAAGAAAGTAAAAAGACAACCCACAGAATGGGAAAAATATTTGCAAATCATATAGCTGGTAAAGGTCTAGTATCCAGAATATATCAAGAACTCTTACAACTCAAAAATAAAATCTGTAAATACAGTTTGATATTTTGCTTTTTCCACTTAACATTATGTCAGGACCATTTTACTATATTACCAAAAAATTTTTCTCATAGCATCTTTAATGGTGACCATGAGCTTTTATTCTTAAAAATAACATGAAGAAGGTTAGCCATGTGCAGTGACATACACCTCTAGTCCTAGCTACTTGGGAGGCTGAGGCAGGATTGCTTGAGCCCAGAAGTTTGAGACTGCAGTGAGCTATGATGATGCCACTGCACTCTAGCCTGGGCAATAAAGAGAGACTCTGTCTCTAAAGAAAAAAAATATATTTACAAAGAAGGACATCACTACCAACTTTACAGAAGCAAAAAGACCTATAAAGAAATACTATGAACAACTGTATGCCAACAAATTAGAAAATCTGGATGAGATAGATAAATTCTTAGAAAGATGCAAACTTCTGAAACTGATTCAAGAAGAAAAAGAAAATGTAAGTAGACCTATGACATGTAAAGAAGTTGAAAACTCCACAAAGAAAAGCCCAGGCCCAAAGGTTTTACTCATGAATGCTACCAAATTTTTTTTTTTAATTAATACCAATTTTTCACAAACTTTTCCAAAAAACAAGACAAAGAAACACTTCCAAACTAATTCTGTGAGACCAATATTAGCTTGATACCAAAACCAGACATCACAAGAAATTACAAATCAATATCCCTTATAAATATTGTTCCAAAAACCCTGAACAAAATACTAAGAAACTGAATGCAGTAACATAAAAAAAGGATTATATACCATGACCAAGTGGGATTTATCCTAGGAATGCAAAATCAATTTAATATCCAAGTTAATTAATGTAATAGACTATATTAATAGAATAAAGGACAAAAACCACATGATTACCTCAACAGAGGCAGAAAAAGTATCTGAGAAAATCCAACACTCTTTCATAATAAAAACACTCTACAAACTAAGAATAGAAAGAGACTTTCTCAACCTGATAAAGAGAATCTACAAAAAACCCACATCTAACATCATACTTAAGGGTAAAAGATTGAATGCTTTCTTCATTAGATCAAGAACAACATAAGAATGTCCACTTTTACTACTTCTATTCAACACTGTATTGGAAGTTCCACCTACAGAAATTAAGCAAGCAAAATGAATAAATAAAAGGCATCCAAATTAGAAAAGAAGTAAAATTAATTCATTTGCAGATGACATGATCCTTCATATAGAAAAGGCTAAGGAATTCACACACACACACACACACAAACACACACACACAGTTAGAACTAATAAATGAGTTCAGCAAGGTTGCAGGATAAAAAAAATCAGTATACAAAAATCAATCATATTCTATACATTAGCAATGAATAATTAAAAATGAAATTAAGAAAACAATTCCCCTCACAAAAGCATCACAAAAAATAAAATACTGAGAAATAAATTTAACAAAAGAAGTACAAGACTAACCAGACATGGTGGCTCATACCTGTACCCAGCTACTAGGGAGGCTGAGATGGGAGCATCACTTGAGGCCAGGAGTTTGAGACTAGCCTGGACTATTTAGAGAAGACCTCATCTCTAAAAACAAATAAAGAAAAGTAACTGAAAGCTACAAAACATTGTTGAAAGAAATTAAAGAAAATCTAAATAAATGGAAATAAATCCTATCTTCCTGCACTGCAAAATTTAATATTGTTAAGATATCAATATTCCCCAAATTGATCTATAGATTCAACATGATTGCTATTAAAAACTACAGCTGCCTTTTTGGAGAAATTAAAAAGTTGCCCCCAAAATTCATTTGGAAATGCTAGGGTCCCCAAATAATCAAAAAAATCTTGGAAAAGAAGAACAAAGTTTAATCTGTCATGGGATTAAGGGGAAAAAAAAGCTAAAAAAAAAAAAAATTAGAGCACTCACACTTTCTGTACTGGCATAAGGATAGACATATACATCAATGGAATAGAATTGAGAAGTCATAAATATTTATGCTTAACTGATTTTTTACAAGAATGCTAAAACAATTAATGTAGAAAGAATAGTCTTTCCAACAAATGATGCTGAGATAACTAGATATCCACATGCAAAAGAATGAAGTTGGACCCCTTCCTCACAATATACATCAAAATTAATTAAAAAGTGATCATAGATCTAAATGTATTATAAGAAGTAAGGCTTACAAGACTTTTAGAAGAAAACATAGGAGAAAATTCTTACAATCCAGTGTTAGGCAATGATTTCTTAGATATGATACTAAAAGCATGAGCAACAAAAGACAAAAGATACATTGGACTTCATCAAAATTAAAAACTTTAGTGCTTCAAAGGACTCCATCAAGAAAGTAAAAAAGAAAACCTACAGAATGGTATAAAATATTTCAAATCACATACCTGTTATACTGTATCCAGAATATGTAAAGAACACATACAACTCAACAATAAGAAGACAAATAACCCAATGTTAAAATGGGTAAAAGATTTGAATAGCCAGTTCCCCAAAGAAGCTACATGAATGGCCAGCCAATAAGCACATGAAAAGATGCTCAACATAGATCCAGGAATCCCACTACTGGGTATATATTCAAGGAAAATAAAATCAGTATGTTAAGGAGATTTGTGAATTCCCCTGTTTACTGTAACATTATTTACAATAGCCAAGTGCCCACCAATGGATGAATGGATAAAGAAAATATGGCAAATATACATAATAGAATACTATTAAGCCTTTAAAAAGAAGAAAATCCTGTCATTTGCAACAAAATGGATGAACCTGGAGGACATTATGTTAAATGAAATAAGCCAGGCACAGAAAGATAAATGCCACATGATCTCATTTATATGTGGAATCTAAAACAGTTGAACACATAGAAGTAGAATAGAATAGTGGTTTCCAGGAGCTGGGGGTAGGGGTAGGGGTGGGGAGATGGTCAAAGGATACAAAATTTCAGTTAAATAGGAGGGATAAATTCAGGAATCTATTACACAAAATGGTGATTATAGTTAATAACAATGTATTGTATTCTTAAAGATTGCTAAGAGAGTAGATTTTAAGTGTTCTTATCATTACAAAAAAGTTAAGTACATGAGGTAATGCATGCTGGTTAGCTAGATTTAGTCATTCCATGGTATACACACATTTCAAAACATGTTGTACATGATAAATACATATGATTTTTGTCAATTAAAAAATAATTTTTAATAATGAAAAAATAGAAAAGACACTTAACATTATTAATTGCTAGGGAAATGTAAATCAAAACTACAATGAGATATCATTTCATATCGATACATTAAGACAGCTAAAATAAAAAGGACAATAATACGTATTAGTAAGGCTATGGAGAAATCAGAATCCTCATAATTACTATTATTAAATAGTGCAGAACTCTGGAAAACAGTTTGGTAGTTCCTCAAAACGTTAACCACGGAGTTACCATACAACCCACACCCAGGTATACACCCAAGAGAGATGAAAATATCCGTTCACACAAAAACTTGTATACAAATGTCCATAGCAGCATTATTCACAATAGCCAAAAAGTGGAAACAATTCAAATGTCTATAAACTGATGAACAGATAAACAAAATGTGGTATATCTATACAATGGAAAATTGTTCAGCCATAAAAAGGAATGAAGTACTGATTCACGCTACAACATAGATGAACTTTGAAAATATTGTGCTAAGTGAAAGAAACTAGTCACCATAAAACACATGATTCTATTTATGTGAAAAGTCCCGAATAGGCAAATCCATAGAGGCAGAAAGTATATTAGTGGTTATTAGGGCCTGGGGGAAGGTGGGAATGGGGAGTGACCGCTAATGGGTATGAGGTTGTTTTTGTGGGGGGGAAGTGATGATAATAGTCTAAAATTAGACTTTGTAAATATACTAAAAACTGAATTGCACACTTTAAAAGGGTGAACATGGCTAGGCACAGTGGTTCACGCCTATAATCCCAGCACTTTGGGAGGTGAGAGGACTACTTCAGGCCAGGAGTTTGAGACCATCCTGGGCAACATAGAGAGACCCTGTCCCTACAAAAAATTTTTTAGAAAAAGGGTGAATGGTATGGTATATAAATTATTTGTCAATAAAACTGTTATTTAGAAAATTACATGGAATAAGTCACAACATCATTTTTTTTTTAGTTATTCCCTAACATTAGATTTCACAGATTACATAGATACAAAGGAAGAAGATGCCAAGTATTTTTAGAATTTCAATATTGAACATCACTAAGAAAATGCTAGTTATAAATAAGTCAAGGCCCTAGTAAAAGGCCATACCTTGCCACATTGCTTGTAGGAAATTCCCTTTTGGTTACAGTACTCATAGATGAGGGCTGCACCTTGTACACATAATTTAGCTTTCAGGGATTCAGGTTTATAATAAATTCCACTATGTATGACACCACTGTTATGTCCAGTCTGGTGAATAGCTACAGAAGAAGAGAAACAGGGTAAAAGAAAGTACATGACTCATACAAAACGTAAGAGGTGAGAGAATAAAGTTACAATTGAAGCTATTAGAGACCACATCATTTAAAATTCTGCCCTAATTTGTTCAGATCATTGGTAACTTCCTCTAGCAGCCATCCCTGGTACCCATGTTTCATCTCTCCAGCCCATCTCTGATTTCAGCTACAACTTTGCTGTACAAACTCACCTCTCACTACCAGCAAACCATTTTAGGGGCCCACTAGGGCTCTTTGCATTCTGCCCCAAGGCCTTTGGTAACTTGTTTTATTTTGAGGGGAGGGGCACAGGGGTTCTCAACATCACTAGTGGCAATACTCAACCAATAGAGACAGGAGCTGATGGATAAATGAGCACAATCCTGGAAGACATTGTTCCTCAGAGATCCCAGTGAAATCAAGCTCACAGCAACAACCTTGATAATGCACTCTCATGTGGCTTTTCCTCTTTCCCCATCTTATTCTCCCTATCCCCTCACTCCTGTCTCCTCAGACAACCTCGCAAATAAATCACCTACATCCAAGTCTTTGTCCTGTGCTTTGCTTTCAGGAGAACCCAAATTAAGATACTAACATCAACATTAAGCAAGCATGAAAGATTCCAAATAAGCCCAAAGAGCAACAATGATAACATACATACCTAAATCTTTCTCCTTTTCCAGAACACCAATTGAAAGTGCTGGATGTCGCAGGATGAGTGATCTGGCAGAGGCAAGCCCCACAATTCCACCACCAACAATGACTATGTCAAATGAGCTTCAAGAGAAAGACAACTTTAAAGTAATGCATGTTTACAGTAGACGTCACCAAATTTCACACACATAATTTTCATCATCAATGGACAATTAAACTATTAATCTGTAATCATTAAAATCAAATATGTATTGGGATTTGTGCTATTTGGCTTCGCACTCATGAAAAAGCCTTTAAAAGTTATATGTGTTGTTGGTCAATAGTATAAGCATCACATTCATGAAAAAACTTTTAAAAGTTACACGCATTGTTGGTCAGTAGTAAAATCAGCTACAGCCTATTGGCAAGCAAGATATCATGTTGCCCAAGCTGCTCTATGTCTCCATAGTATCTCTCCCAGGCTGGTTACATAAGTGATTACAGTCATGCATCGCTTAACAACAGGAATACATTCTAAGAAATGCTTTCTTAGGCAATTTTGTTGTGTAAACATCATAGAGTATAATTACACAAACCTAGATGGTACAGCCTACTACACACCTAGGCTATATAGTATGGCCTATTGCTCCTAGGCTACAAACCTGTACAGCCTATTACTGTACCTGAATATTGTAGGCACTTATAACACAGTGGTATTTGTGTATCTAAACATAGAAAAGGTACAGTAAAAATATGGCATTATAATTTTATGGGATCCATCATCGTACATGCAATCTGTGGTTGACCAAAACATTGTCATGTGGTGCATGTAGTACTTTGTGTTAGGCATCACACTTTTCTACCCACCTGGCTTTTAGGAATTCCAGAAGAATAACTATTATTAAGATAGGCTTCATATTTTCCGAAACCTCCATAATCTTCCACTAAAGTAGGTTTCAAAACATTTACAAACACTTATTTGTACATGTATGACTTAATCATATTTTATATATAGTCTCCTCTCAGTACCCACAAGGAATTGGTTATAGGACCCTCAGGGATACCAAAGTCCATGGATGCTCAAGTCTCTTACCTGAAATGGCACAGTATTTGCATATTGCCTGTGCACATCCTCCTATATACTACATACTTTAAATCATCTCTGGATTACTTATAACACCTAAAACTATGTAAAGGCTATGTAAATAGTTGTTATCCTATATTGTTTTTTATTTGTATTATTTTTATTGTTGCATTGTTATTTTTTTCAAATATTTTTGATCTGCAGTTGGTTGACTCTGCAGATGCAGAACCCATGGATGTGAGAGCTGACTGTACTTTTTTTTCCCTATATCAAGGTGATATCTATACCAACTGGTGAACTGTAAATATCCTACAAGAACCAGTAAGTCCACAAAATGAAGGCATGTGTGAGGGTGTGTATGTAAGAGTGATACCGTTTTTCTTTCTTACTTTCAAGTTCAGGTATGATGCTATGTTTTGCCTTCAAGTCTCAATATTCTGTAAAAAGTAGCATAAGCCTGGCACTTTGCAGGGGTAGTCTTGACTTCTATAATAGTGTTTTTCCATCCTTTTGATAAGTATAACATAAAATGGCCTTTTAATAAATATAACATAAAACCTTTGGTGAAGTAGATCTTCCACTGGGAGTCACTACTTTGGTACAGCTTCCCAGCCAAGAAATTTTACCAGGCTCTTGTTTTTGCAGATGATATTATAATACAACTATCAATAAACTCTTTATTTTCAAATATAAAACTATCATACTCAATAGGCTTTTTCCAACTACATGTGCCACTCTTCACTCTCCCTCCTCAAACCCAGAAAATCACTGTTCTATACAGTGACATAAAATCATTCAAACATGCTTCATAAACTAAACCACAAACCTCCAAGCACCCACTATGGGGAAAGGTACCAAGAACGACAATAACAGATGAACAATGGAGGACATCTACAGCCCAAGCTAACCATGGAGGCCAAAGGGGACATCTTTCTTCACAACTCACTTTATCTCAAGTCAACACCAATGAGCAGTTTAACAGATAACTCTTTTAAAGTGCTTTACTATGAAAAAGTTCAAACCTACACAAAGGTAGACAGAACAGTACAATGAAGCCCTGCAGACATATCACCCAGCTTCGATAATTATCAACTCATGGTAAATCTTGCTTGCTCTCTACCCCACCTATTTTATCCTCTCCTGTATTATATTATTTTGATACAAACCCTAAACATAACATTATTTCATCTATAAATATTTCAATAAGACCTCTTTCTAGTCTCAAAGATCTCTTTCTAAAAGACCTTATTTCTAAAAGAACTCTTTAAAAACACACATGCTACCATTATTGTAACTAAAAAAATTAACAATCATTTTTTATATCATCATATATTCACTATAAAACTTTTAGGCCAGGCATGGTAGTTCATGCTTATAATCCTAGCACTCTGGGAGGCTAAGGTAGAGGATAGCTTTGAGGTCAGGAGTTCCAGATCAGCCCGTACAAGAGCAAGACAACCGTCTCTACTAAAAATAGAAAAAATTAGCCGGGCATGGTGGCTTGTGCCTGTAGTTCCAGCTACTGGGGAGGCTGAGGCAGAAGGATCACTTGAGCCCAGGAATTTGAGGTCGCTGTGAGCTAGGCTGATGCCACAACAAACACTCTAGCCCGGGCAACAGAGTGAGACTCTGTCTCGGGGGAAAAAAAAAAAAAAACTTTTAGAAAAAAATAGGACAAAATCTTTGGGACCTAGAGTTGACACCAAAAGCATGATCTCTAAAAGAAAAAAATTGATAAGATGGATTTCACAAAAATTGAAAATTTTTGCTCTGCAAAAGCCCTGTTAAGAGGATGAAAGACTATCAAAACATGGGAGAAAATACTTGCAACCATATTTAACAAAGGACTCATAGCTAGACTATACAAAAAACTTTCAAAACAAATAAGCCATTTAGAAAACGGGCAAAAGATATGAACAAACATTTCATCAAAGAGGACACATACAAATGGCAGATAAGCACATGAAAAGATGTTCAACACCATTAGTAATGGCATTGTTCAAACATCATTGCATCAGAGAAATGTAAATTAAAACCACAATGAGCTATCATTACACTTCTATCAAAATAGCTAAAATAAAAAAAGTGATAACACCAAATGCTGGTAAGAATGCAGAGAAACTGGATCACTCACACATAGCTGGTGGGAATATAAAACAGTATAGCCACTCCAGAAAACAGTATGGCAGTTTCTTAAAAAACTAAACTGCATTTTCGGGCATTTATCCCAGACATAATTTATGTTCATACAGAAATCTGTACACGAATGTTGATAGCAGCTTTACTCACAACAGCCAAAAACGAGAAACAGCTCAGATGTTCTTCAACTGGTGGTGAATGTTTAAACAAACTGTGATGCACCCATACTATGGAATGCTACCCAACAATTTTTTAAAAACCCACTATCAATATAGGCAACACCTTAGATAGATCTCAAGGACATTATACTATGTGAAAAAAGTCAATCTCAAAAGGTGACAATACTATATGATTCCACTTATATAGCATTCTCAAAATGACAAAATTATAGTGATGGAGACCAGATTAGTGGGTGTAAAGGGTTAGGAAGGGTGGAGAAGTAAGGTGTGAACATAAAGGGATAGGTAACATAAGGGCTATCTTTGTAGCTACGGGACATTTCTATATCTTAATTGAAGTAGTGTTTACACAAATTAACATATATGACTAAATTGCATGGAATTACACAGATGCATACACACAAATGAGTGCATGATGTAAAACTGATGAACTCAGAACAAGATTTGTGGATTGCGCCAATAACAACTTCCTGGTTTTGATATTGTACTATAGTTATGTAAGATATCATTGGGGTAAATGGGAAGAAGAGTAGATGGGATCTCTCTACAATTTTTCCAATTTCCCATGTATGGATCTACAATTATTTTAAAATAAAAAGTATAAACAAAACTTTCACTAACCCTAATTTTCTTCCCTTAAGGAAATGTTTCCAGGCAGGGCGCAGTGGCTCACGCCTGTAACCCTAGCACTCTTGGAGGCCGAGGCGGGAGGATTGCGAGACCCCCGTCTCTACTATAAATAGAAAGAAATTAGTCAAACAACTAAAACCAGAAAAAATTAGCCGGGCACAGTGGCGCGTGCCTGTAGTCCCAGCTACCCAAGAGGCTGAGGCAGGAGGATCACTTGAGCCCAGGAGTTTGAGGTTTGCTGTGAGCTAGGCTGACGCCACGGCAGTCTAGCCCAGGCAAGACAGTGAGACCCTGTCTCAAAAAAAAAAAAAAAAAAAAGAAAAGAAAATGTTTCCAAAAGATGATCAGCATATCCCACAATAAATCACAAATGCTATTACTAGTATCCCACTCTAATCCCCTCAATCCACTAACACACAGCAGCCAGAGACAATTTTTGAAACAACATTTAATCACACCTCCCTTCTTTAAAACCTTTTAAATAGCTTCCTATAACTTAGAAAAAAATTTAACATGTGGTTAAGATAACCTTGCCGTGATGCAGTCCTTCTCTGGTGTCATTCCACATCATCTGTCTTCCACCTAAGCTCCGGTCACACCTTCTAGTCCTTGAAATAGCCAAACAGCTTTTCAGCCTTAGAGCCTTCGCACAAACCGTTCCTTCTACAGAGAGCAAAGACAGTGGTTTCGAATGTAACCTCCAAACTTCAAATCACAGGGCACTGAATTCTGCAGGCTTGATTAGCAACCGAGCTGCTTCTCACAGGGGAAGCCTTCCGCAGTATGTGCCAGGAACCGATTGATTTAAGAATGATTTCAGATCTCCCAATCAACACCAGGGATGCCTCTACAGCACATTTGATTGCTTAACAGTGTATAGATCCTTTTATCCTCAAAACGACGACCTACGGGAGAGACTAAGATTCTATTCACACCTGAGCCGTTAAGGAGGTTAGGTAAGCCACCCAGAGTCGAATAGTAAGCGAAAGGGTTGTATTCAAAGCCAGAACCGCTCCTGACCTCTAATCAACACTGCCGTTCCTCCGGCCCATAACTGCAACAAATGAACCCTGCAGGTTGGTAGCTCCTGGGAGCTGGAGCTCCACAGCAACCCAAGCTCCTCTCACGCCTGGGGCAGGGAAGCACGAGCACGGGCATAGGTCCAACACGAGGCACCTCTGAGAGAAGCAGCAGAGCAGGCGGCGGGGGCCGGCCAGCGGCCACTCACCTGGTGCTGGCGCTGCGGCCACCCCCACACAGCGACCAAAGCCTCCCCGACGCCGGCCCGCACGCCCCGGGGAACCCCCCGCGCGCCCGTCCGCGGGCACTACCCAGGTAACGCAGCGCCGGCACCATCGCCTGCGCCCCTTCCCAGCCCGTGAGGTAGCCGCTTGAGCCCGACACTGTGCCGGGCACCCGGCGTTCTCTAGCCCCGCCCCCAGGCAGGGGCCAATGAGGCGTGCACCTTCGCCCCACGTGGGAGCCGCCGCGGTGGCCAATGGGCGCGCGCGGCGGAGGGCGAAGAGCAGGCCGGCGCCGTAGACGCGGGGAACGCTGGCTCGTTCGCTCCCTCCCTCCGACGCTGTGAGTAGAGCAGCTAGGCCCCGAGCGGGGCGGGACTAGGGTGGTGGTTACGCTCTGCCCTCGCCCTTCTTTTAACGCGGGGCTGGCTGAAAACCTGGTCTTCCGGGTCGTGTGTCTACGACCTTCACCGCCGAGCGGACTTGGGGCCGCGGGAGAAAGTCTGGGCATGTTTACTGGGAAAATAGTTGGGGCGGGCCCTGGGGCTCCCTTCTGCCACCTCGCCACCCCCGTCCGCCCCACCCCCCGCTGTCTCCAGCCCCGCCCCCAACGCGCCGAGTGGCCGCTGAAGGGCGCTCCCTGTCCAGCCCTGGCCATCGCTCCTGACGGAGGCTCTTTGTCACGACAAAGCCTGACAGCTTGCAGTCTTCTGGACTTATTTTCGTGGGGCTTCTTGCCGTGTCATTCTCATTCAGTCATTGATTCGTCTTTAAATGTCCAGCGCCTACTCTGTACGGGACTGGGCGCTGGACACCGGATGAACCAGACAGTTCTGTCTCTGCCATCGTTTTAGCAACGTGTCCTTTTCTTAAATACTGCACAGAGATACAGTTTTAAATATGCGGTGGGGCCTCCGAATACCTGTAGAGGACACCTCCGTTTCCTTGTCTGTAAAAGGAGGGCGATGGGCTATGTAATCTCTAAAAGACCTTCTATCTCTGTAAAATTGTGTGATTCACTATCACTGTGCCAGTTTAACTAACACCCCTTCTCTGTGCTTGATGGCAGTTGTAAATGTCTAGGGATGGGACAGCTGAACAGAACAAAAATAGAACGATATAACATTATTGCTGAAAGGACTTGGCCTGTTTGAATCGGTTCCAGTCGTTGGTTGGGTGGCTCAGGGAAGTAATTTCGCCTCTTTCTTTGACTCAGACCTTCCTCTGTAAACTAGGAGTAGTGGAATAGTATTAATAGCAGTGTCTCCCTCATAGGGCTGTTCAGCGGATTACATGAGATGAGGCTCATCAGGTGTTGAGCACAGCGAAGCCTTCTGTAAATGACGGCTTATATTATGTTTAAACGGCTTTACCGCGAACAATAGTACATATTTTGCTTTATTTGTGAAAACAAGTAGAGTATTGTCTGCTTGTCCCATCACAAATGAGATAGTTATTCAACTTTTTATTTTGAGGTAATTGCAGATTTCCAAGCAGTCGTAGGAGATAATAGAGATGCTGTGTACCCAATACCCAGTCTCCCCAGTGATAACATCTTGCAAAACTGTAGTACAATATTGCAACGAGATAATTGACATTGACACAATTCATTGATCTCATTCAGATTTTCCCAGTTTTATGTTTCTCTGTATTTCTATATAATTATCATCACGTGTGTAGACTCTTGTATCCACCACCACAATCAAGATACAGCACAGTTCCATCACCAGGAAGATCCCCCAAGTTGCCGTTTTATAACCACAACTTCCCCTTGCAGCCCCACCCAATCTTTTCTCCCTTTCTAAAATTTTGTCATTTCAAGAATGTTATACAAATGTAATTATACAGCATGTAACTTTTGGGGATTGGCTTTTTTCACTCAGCATAATCCCTTGAGATCCATCAATATTGTTGTATGTATCAATTTCTTTGCATTACTGAGTAGCATTCCATAATATGGAGATGCTACCTACAGTATGTTCATCCATTCCCCCATCAAAGGACATCTGAGTTGTTTACTGTTTTTAGCTATTATGAATAAAGCTGTTAAGAACATTAGTGTACAGTTTTTGTGTGAACCTGTTTTTTGTTTCTGTAGGATAAGTGCCCAAGAGTTCAATTGCTGCTGGGTCATATGGTAAGCACGTGTTTAATTTTATAAGAAAAGTGGTATACCGTTTTACATTCCTACCAGCAATGTTTGAGTGATCCAGTTTCTCCTCATTGTCACCAGCATTTAGTGTTGTCGCTATTTTTTTATTTTAACCATTCTGATAGGTATGTAGTAGAGATGATTATTTTTTAGTTTGAAAAGGACATAGTTGATTCGTTACTACTTCAAATATAGAATTATATGCTTTGAGGGGCTGTGATCAGACTTTCGTGAGCGATGGGCCCATAGTCATGATTACTTTACTACTACATGATTTCGAGCACGTGCTTCTTAGTTTAGCAAGGGTGAAAGAACTGAAAACACACATGCTATTTTATTTTATTTTATTGAGACAGGATCGCTGTCTCAGGGGCTCGAGTGCAATAGCATGATCATAGCTTACTGCAACTTCAAACCTCTAGGCGCAAGCAATCCTCCTGCCTCAGCCTCCTAAGTAGCTAGGACTACAGGCCCGTGCCACCATGCCTGGCTAATTATCATTATTATTATTTTGTAGAGCTGAGGTCTCATTATGTTGCTCAGGCTGGTCTCGACCTCCCGGGCTCAAACTATCCTCCCACCTCAGCCTCCCAAAGTGCTGGGATTACAGGCATGAACCACTGCGCCCAGCCACACATGCTCATTTTATAAAATTTTCTCTGCTTACCTTCCCCCCAAGATTTGACTGTATAGTAGTTTGTTTCAATTAAGTAATTTCAAATCAAGGGCTTACCTTGCTTTTATATACCCTATAATGTTTGTATTCCTGACACTACATCCCTCCATTGAGAATTCATGTTCATCTTCCTCCATCTAGGTGAGAACCTGTAAGAACTTAGTTCAATGAGTGCTGTGTGATGTTGGCCTAAGGATGGCTTTTGGGACCTATGCTTCTAATACCTAATGAATTTCCTTGTGGATCTGTTTCACTAGATTCTACACACCTCAGAAGTAAGAACTAGAATCAATAATGGGTGATTTACAGTGGATGGGATTGTAATTTGGGAAAAAACTACCCCATTCTGATGCCAGCCCATCCCTTGCTGTCACCACTTTACCATCTTCAACAACTAGTTCACTAATTCAGTATTTTTGACCACCAAGTTAGCCCTTGCTTTGAATAGCCCCCTGAGTAATTGTATTTAGTATGTAACATCAGAACTTCCACTTTTAAAAAAACTGTTTTTATGCGAACAGAGAAACTATCAAACCTACTCAGAAAACACTTTGTATATATCCTGTTTTGAATAACACTTTATAGGTCTGGTTTCTAAGTTCCAAACATAATTGCCACTTTTAGAAACATTGTTACAAACTTATAGCTCTGAGCCATATTGTGCCATTAAGAAATTTTTTTTATTTTTGTTTTTATAATTTGAAATCCTGGATTATTTATGTCAGCGATAATTTAGTAGTGGCTATTTTCTAACTTTTAACTGGATTATTTTAATTTATTAGAGCTAAATTCACGAACTCACCACTAGAGGTCTCCTCTTTCCCTATAGAAAGCATTTCCAGAGGTAGCTGCTTGCACTGGAGTAGAAACAATTCCCAAAATTAATTAGCAAAGTTGCAGTTGAGAAAGTAAAAACCTATCAGTTTTAAACCTTTATTGCCAAATATAAATTTAATTTTCATGTTCAAGTTATTTTAGATATATCTAGTGTTTTTAGAGGTCACAGCTGAAGTAAATTTTGCCTTCCCTTTAAGCTGAATTATAAGATGGGCCAAAATGAATCAAGTGAAAGTATTCAATTTTCAAAGACCACTGTAATTGACCTGCTTAATAACAGTTTATTTGGTTTCGTCTGTCTCCCTGGAAATATGTCAACCATTGAAGACTATTAATTAACAAATATTTATCAAATGTTTACATTATGCTGAGAAAAATGGAAACGAATAAGATGTGATCCTTGCTCTTCCTTTTTTCTCTGCATACTTTTTTTTCTTCCTAATTGGAAACTCTTGATCACTGTTTAAGACCCATCTCAAAAGACACCTCTAGTGTGAAGCCTTCCCCTCCCTTCTCTGGGCTCTCATGGCGTTTGTTTACACCTCTGTTACAACACTGTGTTGGATATTATTTATCTGTTTACATGTCATCTGTCTTATTTGTTAGGCTATACATTCTATGAGGATGGGAACCATGTCTTTCTCTGTGTCTCTTTCTCCTTTGTCGTTTTGGTTTTTTGTCTTACCATTGTTTCTTTTGCACTAAATATAGCAGACATTCAATAAACATTTATTAAGTGAATGAATGAGCAGATGGACATGGCATTTAAATGAGGTCTTGAGGTTGGATGAGATTTCTGCAGATAGGATTGGTGGGGGAAGGGGGGGTGGAATAGAGGGAACAGCCTGAGTAGAAATTGGGAGGCTCAGATTTGTAAATGAGGTCGGCAACCAGTGGAGCTATTAGAGGTGCGCACAGATAGAGCTTTAACAAAAAGCTGGAAAGGGTTGAGAAGGTGAGAAGAGGTAGCAGGGGGAGAGGTTTGCAGTAATGAAGACAGAGTGATGGTGGAAAAGGGATGAAAAGCGTATTAGGTGATCCCAGGGTTCTGTCCACAGGCCAGAACAGCCTCAACATCATCAGTCACTTACTCAGCTCTAAGATGGTTCCCACTCAGGCATCTTTCTAGTCCTCTTCTTTCCCTTGGATTCTAGAAATTCAAATGATTAAGGAAAGGGCCCTTGACTGGTAGGAGAGAGAACTGGGTTCAAGTTTCAGCACTGCCACCAATTAGCCATGAAACATTGAGCAAGTCCCCTTAAACACATGCATTTATCAGTACCCCGCCTTGTTCCAGAAAGAATTTAGGGTGTCAGCAAGTTACTTAATATCAGGGCTTCAGTTTCCTCATCTCTAAATGAGAGGTTTGGTCTCGGTGATCTAAGTTCCTTACAACTGTAGCATTTTGTGACTCTGATTCCAATAATTTATTTGTCATCTCCACTTAGAA